AAAAAAAAAACAATATTTTAAATGGCGAAATTAAAATAAAATACCTTATAGACTGTCGTAAATCATATGCTAGGTTTCAAAACATTGATCTTACCTGTATTTTGCAATCAGACGTATCACGCGAATATGTATATAATATATATTTTTGATTTGTTAAAATAATAACAAATTTAAACCTTTTATTTTGGTGAATGTATTTTTCAGCAATCGAGAAAAACTTTTATTTGTGAAAATTTGTATGTATATGCTGCGAATAAAATAAAGCCAATACATGAGAAATGTTTATAAAATCATAATTTTTTATGGGCATCTTACAGTATGACGACCGCAATTTTTTTAAAACAAACTGAAGCCACATTTTTGCACATCTGGCTCTCGCATTAGACTGTTTGCCGTCTGTCGTCTGTCTAATATCAATCAGACCGCCGCGTCGCGTCGCGTTTACGTGTGGAGTGGTCAAATTTTTATCGGTTTTATTAACTTCAAAATAACTTACCTATTTTGGTATTAAATTGTTTTATATTACATTACATATATCTATGATTGAAAATGGTTGTGATTAATATTTTTTTAATTAATTTTGATTATGTTGCAAACATTTATTTGTATAAAATTAATAATAAATATAATTAATAAACTTTAGATATTAAAATTTGAAGAAGTTAAAACTGTAATTTTATCGACCGCATTATTTTTATTAATATTTTTTAATTTTGAGAATTTTGCAATACATTCAAATGCTTTTTATCTTTTTTAAATCTTTTAACAGTAAATAATAATTTGAAAATAATTTGTGAATTTTTACATTTAAATCTTAATTAAATAGCTAACAAAATATTGAAAAAACAAGTTTACTTTGCCTTAATATGTAAAAAAATAACTTTTTCAATGAATGATAGCTTCATTTATTTATTTAATAATAGTAAAATAATTCCGACATTGAAATTTTAATTAATATTTCGTTTAACAATAACATTATTATTATTTTTTTATAAAATTGCATACATGGAGTCTTGTGTAATGGTGGGAGGTGGTCATTTTCTACATTTACCTGTATTCAGACTTCTTTCAGTTTTATTATGCCTTTATTGGAATAAGAGCTTTCCCACAGAGCAATATCGTATGCACTATGGCCTATTTAATTTTTCCTTGATAAAAAACCGTTACATTTATGAAAATTAATATAAAAGTGATCAACTTTGTTTCAAATCTTTCAAACTATCTAAAAGATTTTATATGATCATTTTAGCGCTAGAATAAAAGGAATTACCTGTGAGACTCCTTGCAACCGAAGGGAAATATCAGGAAGTTATCCAAAAAATGTTTTTTCGATAGTACAAAAAGTATACGTAATTTAATTTTTTAACTTCTTTGATATATTTACGGAAAACAGAAACGTAATAAATCATATTAGAAATAAAAATCTTTAGCCCAGTCATTATAGACATGAAAGAGCCTGTTTCGGGAAAAAAATACTATTAGAAGTTTCTCTGCGGAATATTGTTCGGAAACCTGTTATAAATAAAATATCAAAAAATCAACTCGAGGCTAGTTGGGAAACTTTGTTTTAACAGTGGTCAAAGTTATGGAAAAGTGGTTTTTTGACTCACGTAAAAAAGCTATTATTCATAGCGAAAAAAAGTTTATACAAAAAAGGTAGGTATTAAATAAGCCTATAAAATGAAAAAAGTCCGATTAAATTCCGATAATTTGTTTATGCACAAGAGCTCAAAAATGGTCGAAAATTGCCGTTTTTTTCAATTGCTAATAATTAATGCAATTTTCATCGCAGACACTTGTAATTCAGGATTTTTGAGGCTTTTTACACCCTTAATAAGTGGTAAAAATTTCAGCCCGAAAGCTTCATTGGTTTGGCGTTGGCGGAATTTGTTATCTAAGAAGATGCTATTTTCAATTCATTTTTCCCAAGCTCACAGGCGTTGTAGGGTTTCGATCATTAGTTGTTTTTGTACCTAAATAGTTGTATTGACATATGCATTTACTGAGAATTTAGTTTTTCAAATTTAATTTGTTTAAAATTGACTGAAAAAATGTTAATATTTATTAAATTGTTAAGATAGGTAATTATTATAAAATAAAATAGTAACCTCTTTACTTTAGTTTTCTTCGAATTTAAAAAAAAATCGTTGTTGTAAGTTGATTAGAAGCTGAGATAATTTTTTTTATTTATTTAATCGCAGTGACCTTAATTATTAATATTAAGAGCCGAAATTTGGAGAGAGTATACATTAAGAGCTATATTTTCATGTCCTACATTAACATTAAGGTGAATTCAACTATTTAATTTCGAAAAAGAAGATAGCGGCGATGCGTTCTATTACTTGGTCTAGCGAACGAGTGGGGAAGGCGAGGCTTAGCATGCGCGCTTAACGATGTAATAAATATTAACATTTTTTCAGTCATTTTTAAACAAATTAAATTTGAAAAATTAAATTATCAGTAAATGCATATGTCAATACAACTATTTAGGTACAAAAACAACTAATGATCGAAACCCTACAACGCCTGTGAGCTTGGGAAAAATGAATTGAAAATAGCATCTTCTTAGATAACAAATTCCGCCAACGCCAAGCTAATGAAGTTTTTGGGCTGAAATTTTTACCACTTATTAAGGGTGCAAAAAGCTTCAAAAATCCTGAATTACAAGTGTCTGCGATGAAAATTGCATTAATTATTAGCAATTGAAAAAAGCGGACAATTTCGACCATTTTTGAGCTCTTGCGCATAAACAAATTATCGGAATTTAATCGGACTTGTCTTATTTTACAGATTTATTTAATACCTACCTTTTTTGTATAAACCTTTTTTTCTCTATGAATAACAGTTTTTTTACGCCAGTCGAAAAACTACTTTTCCATAATTTTGACCATTGTTTTAACAAAGTTTCCCAACTAGTCTCGAGTTGATTTTTTGATATTTTGTTTATAACACGTTTCTGAACAATATTCCGCAGAGAAACTTCTAATAGTATTTTTTTCCCGAAAAAAAGCTATAATGATTGGCCTACTTGCACAAAAATTTGATATGGATAGCAGTAGAACCAATTATGGGAACTACCAACTAAGATGGCTCAAGATGGCTCATATTAAGAGAACGGAGAAAGAAAACAGAATATGAAATTTATATGATATATAAAACAGAACATGCAGAACTAAAAAAGAATACTTCGAAATAGTAAGCAGAAATAGATACAGAACAAAAAATTATGTTTAGCGACAGATAAACGGATAGATAAGATTTTTATTTGAAATCTGTCACACCCATCCAACATATTTTGTGCAAATTCTACTTTAAGCAACAGCACTATACGAAGTTTTAACTCGGCATCTTTAACTGTTCCTAAGTTAGTCTTTACAAAAAGTCCCACAGCTCTTTTTTTAAATATCTTAGAACCCTGAAGAATCATTTCCTATAATTAAAAAAAAAGTGAAATTACCATTTAAGTTGCAAGCACTGGCATCCGATCTCTGCATATTCATGGGAGCTATTAGAGACCACTGGTTTGTCTTATAATCATATTTTTCCGCTGTATTCTGCCTATGATGCCCATCGTAGCCTCCCATGGCGTAAATCAAGTCTTCCAGAACGGCCGTGCTGACATAGCACCTTCTGGCGTGCATCGGCGCGATCTCTTTCCAATTCTTTTTGACGGCGTCGAAGCACCTGCAGGAGTTGAAGTAGTCCATGCCGTCGAATCCTCCGATGACGTAGATCTTGAACCCCACCACCGCGGTGCCGTGGTAAGCCCTGGGTCCTGTGGGATCGACCTCCTCGACTTTAACCCAGCGATCGGCCCGCGTGTCGTAGGTTTCGATGAAGTTGGTGGGCGATCCGCCGGACCAGCCGCCGATGGCGAAAAGGACCTCGTGGGGAACCCTGGGACGCGCTATTTCGGGAGTCACCACTTCACCGTCTCTAGGAAACCAAATTGTTAGGAAGGCCAGTGAAGCTATTGCAACTGTAATCTAATTTACCAGTTAATACGATCAGAGTGGGCAATAAGTTAAATAAATTTAAACCAATCTACCTATGCTACAATTTCAATATTTTGGTAGGGTAGGTATCGCTATTTGTACCTCAAGATGAAGTGTCACCAAAGTACGAGTAGTAGAACGTGGTAAATCTCTATATTCACAAAATGTGGAATATTTGGAGATCTTGGTGTTCACAATTTTCGGGTTGGTTGCCACGTTTTGGTTTGGTTCTCCAGCAAAAAAACTCTGGATATCAGGTTCCGTATTTATATTTGTTGTGTGCATTGAATCATGACGTTCTGGCACATGTTTTGTAATCAATGGTCCATGTTGTTCTGATAGATTTTTGGTCGTAATCTCCCTTTCACCAAAATTCTGGTATTAGTTAAGTCTATCGTTTGTTCTGTCTATCTTGTGCTCCACAACTGTTAATTTTTCTAGATTGTTATTATTCAAGTGAGATTTGTGCTTCTTTTACATCGTACCTACTAATGTTTATTTTGAGAAAGGCTGTCCCTATCTTCCTTCCAGGATTCTTGGGTGTGAGAGAGAAGATTTTGACCAAAAGTCTACAGATAGGAAGAAAAGTCATGGATCAGTGCATACAGAAAATATAAGTACCACCCAGAGGGTTTAATCTCCAGTACCAGAGTTTCTTCTGAAGAAGAGAGCTACATGTCTCTAAAAACGTCAAATCAATACCGACATTGTGGCAACCAAACCGGAAGGTGTTGAATGATTGAAAACCATCACGAAATCCTGAAAATTAAGTTCTTGGCAAGAAACTTATTGCAGAATTCTAAAAGTAACCCATTGTGATAATATAAAGGGAAACTATTACTTCTGCTCTAGTTTGCATTAGGAGTATATTATTTATAGCATAATATCCGGCGACATACAGGGTGTCCCGAAATTAGGGGGCAATATTTCTACAAGGTGTTCTATATCGAAAAAGATTACTTTTTCTTTATACAGGGTGGTCCGAATTTTATGCAGGAAACTTCGAGGGCAGATAGATTTCTTTAAAATAATAGGTGTTTGCCTTATAAACATAGGTCTGGAACAGCCTCGTTTTAGAGATACAGGGTGTTGAAGTTGTTAAAAAAATGATTTTTTGTTTATATCTCCGGAATCTTTTAACCGATCTCAATAAAATTTGGTACAGATAATGTATGACAGTAGGCCTTACATTACTTAAAATGTGAGCTCTAATGGTTCAACCAGTGGTGTACAACTGGACAGGGGTCGCCCTCTTTTTATAAAAAAAACTGCGCCACTGTATTTTTTACAAGTTATTGTAACGGATTTATATTCTAATGCACTAAACACGTGAAAAAGGTAACTTGAATTTTTCTCTAAGATTCCCCGTTTTCAAGTTATTCATACCAATACAATCCCCTTGTGGCAGACACTTCAAACCATAATATTACAAGAATATCTATGTTTGTGCTTAAAAGTAAGTGCAATTTGTAAGCAGATCAACAAAATTATTTCCACATCACCTGTGAGGTAGTGTTCCTAGTGTGTTTTAGTTTCCCCTGGAGGCTTAATCCACTATCTTTACAAATAAGAACAATTTAAATCAAAATAAAAATACATTTACCAAGCAACAACAATTAAACAAGAAACGAAATTAACGTTACGTATTTACAGCAATTGTTCAAAATGCGAACCATCCACATCGATACATTTCTGACAACTTCTATTAATGATTAATGGAATTACCTAACTAATATCATGTGGTGGTTTTCTTTTAATTCATTACACCCGTCTTCTATTCGCTGCAGTAGTTGTGGTGGAGTAGAGTAAACTTTACTTTTCAGATAGGTAACCCCAAACGTAGAAGTCCAGGGGGTTTAGATCTGGCGATTTGGCTGGCCAAGAGACTGGATTCTCTGCACCATTATGGTTGACATTGGCATTTGGTCTTCAACCGACCCATCGCCCCATATAATTTTTAAGCCATTCTTCTATTATTCTCCTAAAATGCGCAGGAGCACCATCCATTTGTATCCAGCTATTTTATGGTATATTTAATGGAACATCCTCTAATAATTCATATAGATGGTTTTCTAGAAAGTTTAGAAATGACTGGGAATTTAGATGGGGTGACAAGAAGAAAGGTCCGATTTATTCCGAGCCACACTTTCACAGAAAATTCGTGTTGACAAGATCTTGTCCGAATTTCATGAGGATGTTCTTGTGGCCAAATATTGTGAAAATTTACTACCCTTCGCCTTGTGAATGTAGCCTCATCAGTCCAAAGTATTTCTAGTAAAAAGTCTGGATTATGTTGTGACTTTAAAACAACCACTAACAAAAATTCAGATGTCTCTACATTTCCCGGAAGTAAATTTTGCACAGGTTGTAAATGGTACGGATTTCTACAATTATTATGTAGAACTTTTCATATTTTCGATTTACTCACCCCAAGTTGCCGAGACGTTTTTGTGTACTTAACCGAGAATCGTCGTCAAATGTTCTTAAAAATTTAATTTCTATGCCTTTCATTGCGCCGTCGTGATTTTCCAAATATCGTTTTAATCCAAAAAGATGAAAGCGACGAGTGTAAAGAAATTTGTTGACGTGCTTACAAATTTCACTTACTTTTAAGCATAAACATAAATATTCTTGTAATATTATGGTTAGAAGTATCTGCCACTAGGGGATTGTATTGGTATGAATAATTTGAGAACGGTGAACTTTAGGGAAAAAATTCAAATTACCTTTTTGACTTATTTTGTACATTAAAATATAAATCCGTTGCAATAGCTTGTAAATAATACAGTGGCGTAGTTTTTTTATAAAAAGGGGTGACCCTGTCCAGTTGTACACCACTGGGCGATTTTTTAGAGCTCATATTTTAAGGAATGCAAGGCCTATTGTCATGCATTATCTGTACCAAATTAGATTCCGGAGATATAAACAAAAAATCAATTTTTTTTAACAACTTCAACACCCTGTATCTCTAAAACGAGACCGTTCCAGACCTATGTTTATAAGGCAAACACCTATTATTTTAAAGAGATCTATCTGCCCTCGAAGTTTCCTGCATAAAATTCGGACCACCCTGTATAAATGTGGATCCAAAATTTTTTCCTAAGGTACTTATAGCCACTTAAAGGGCCACTCTGATGGAGATTGAGATAAATTTATGAAAGTTGGTAACCAGCGTAACTGATATGTACTCAGTCCGCTACTAAAACAAAATTTACGGTAAATTTTACACCCCCCCCCCCCCGTGTTGGTGTTGGAACGCATGTGATTAAAATTTGTAAATTTCGTTTCAGTAGTGGACTGAGCACGTATAAATTTATCTCAACTGGTTTCGGAGTTATTTAAAAAAAAAGGATCCACGTGTATATCAAGAAAAGGTAATCTTCGACATAGAACACCCTGCAGAAATATTGCCCCCTAATATCGGGACACCCTGTATAACAACTGTGTAGTAACACCGATCTATCAAAGGCATGCTGCGATCAATCTCTTGCGATGATTACGAAGATCTTCAGACCTTCAGACTCTGGATAATTTTACCTGACGGGTAAAATGCCTTTTAGTTGTACTAAATATTTTTTTTTCTAGTTGATTATTATTTGCAAAAAGTTCAAGTAAGGAAAATTAAATTTTATTACATTAACATTGATATTATGGTGACACAGGTTTTTTTGAGTTTTAGAAAATTTTGTCATTTTATTTTTTAAGTAAATAAATCAATTCCTTCAAAATTATACGAGTTATCAATAAATTATTCCTACAAATAGTAAAGTTATACTGCAGTGTATTCGCTCACAAAAAATACATGTATTTTTAGTCACCACTTGGTACGAAAAGATTTTCATACAAATCCGCATCCGATGTAACCACCGCACCGTGATGGTTTAGATAAACCATCAATGTAAATTTTTCAAGGGACTGGTATATCAATTTTATACATATTTAAAAACTCACAAACCAATCAAAACAAAAAATCAACTCCTTCACGAAACTACAACATAATAATTGTTATTAGAGAATATACAATTTTTTATATTTTTGTAATATTTTAACTATATTTATATTAGGCCCGGTACTTTGAGTCTCGGTTAAAGCTTGATTAACTGATAAGGCGATTAGACTGTACATATACTGATTTTTTTTATAAAGGACAGTCACAGTCTAATCGCCTGATTAGTTAATCAAGCCTTAACCAAGACTCAAAGTACCGGGCCTTAAAAATATGTACTTTTATATTCACTATGAAACATTGATAAAACCGTTTCTTAGTTCCTAATTTTAAAAGAACGCTATGAGATTAGATACGTCTTCTCAAATTAGTAACTTCTGGCAAATAAAATAATCTTTTCCGTCTTCGACATAATTGGAAATCAACTGAAAACTTGTGATAAAAGTTTGAGTCCTTGTAATGATCAAAAGTAGATAGTGTGATACGAAGATCAAACAAAAATTTCATATGCATTGAAAATGAAAATCATTATGGAAAAAAAGTTCTTAATCATTTTATATTTCTTATCAATTTATTAATTCGTTTATAAAAGACTGACCTTGTAAGATAATTCTATTCACATATCTTTATAATGTATATTTAGACAGGTTGTCACAAATTGGTAGACCAATCCGTCAACCATATACCTACAAGAGCTAAAATAATCGAACTTTGCCATTCTTAATTTTGACAGCCTATTTTCGAGATGCAGGGTGTATACTGTATAAATTAAGTTTTTAAGAACGATATTTTTAATAAGTCGTTATTTTCTAGCACACTGAGTAAAAATTTTCCTGGCACTCTTTAGTATTTTGGTTAGAAAAAATCGGAATAGGAATGGTGGTACCCATTGACCTGCAATTTTTTCCTATATGAATGAGAAATACTGTATTTTAAATAAAACATTTCCTTCCTTAATTTTTGTGTCAGTTGGAAAATTTTGATTTAGAGCTTAATTTACGAAATATTGCACCCTCTTTAGATATGCGGGAAAAATTTTTATTTTGTTTTCTTACCGCCTCTGAAATAGAAAAAAGTTCGATGTATTCAAATATTAGAACTCTCTGAATGCTGAAAATGTGATGCCGAGATTAAAAATAGCATAAGAAAAGTTCCATTATTTTCCTACAAATTATCTGTAGTTTCGCGGATTGGCGTACTAATTTGTGACACCCTGTGTGTATACACGAAAATAATAATAAACAGATATGAGTATATAAAATTAAGGGAATATCTAAATTTATTTTAATTATTGCTTTAAAATAAACATTAAGCCAAGCAACTTAACCATCACCAATGTTTATATTAAGTATGGATAATATGAAAGTTGAACGATGTTATTGTTAACTACATTATACTTTAAAATTTTAATCTGGTATGCCTGGGATGTAAATAAAGCATACAAACTCTGATCTCATCGCGAATTATTCATACACATTGCCATGATAATTATTCTGCCTACCCAGCTTCAGTGTAAACATACTTAAATACATTTTTAAGTGGTCGTAAACTGTATGCAGTAGTTCAAAACTATTAAACAAGGTCATCACCCGAAAATGTTAAATATGTTACTACTCTTTCTAATATGTTACACTTATGGCATATTCTTTTGTTTATATCTCCCGTACTATTAGGCATAGACACACTTGTTTCAACGACACTGTGTATACTCGAATTATTGTAACGGTTTGTAGTTTTAATAGGGGATAGAACTCGCAAATTTATCAGTTTCTTTTTAATATCTATTTTCTTAGTTTGTACTTTTGCATTGAAAAATTCCCCAAAAATTGAGAAGTATCTTTCTATCTTTCAACGACGAATAATTAAACTTTAATTTATGAAAAAAAAAACGCAAAAATAAAACTTTTTCGTATAAGACTTTTCTATTACAAATATCATTAGGAAGCCGTAGTTTAATTTTTATAGATTATAAACGCCACACCCTGTATATTTATACTCTCTTGTTTTTGAAGTGTTAGCAAATATTTCAAAACAAAACGGACTTCATAAATGTGGAGAGGTTATCGCAATCAACAGTAAAGTAGTGTTTTAGATTTTTTTATCAAAAGTGTTCATTGCTTGTATTTATCAAAATTCTGTTTAGTAATAAGTACTAACATGTTTGTTACCTATGGGTTATCATTTCCAAATCGTATAAAAACTTTAGCGTCTCGATTATCATCGGACGACTCTCTTCGCACCCAGACACGTAAGGATGTTCCTTTACCCTTTCTAGAAAAAACTGGGTATCCAAGAGGCCCAACCTGATACACTTCATTAAAGCGACAATATGCTTTTTTCTTGCTTCAGTGTCGTAGTCTATCCACCTTAGGATAGTTTCCCAGACGATTTCCTCACTTTTAACGTTCAGATCGTCAGCGTTGATAATTTCCTGAATTTCAGGCAAGGACAGCGTTAAGATTTCATGGCTGTGCGTGGCGATTTGGGCGAAATTTCTCATAATATACTTCCACGTGTTTGACGCCAATTCTCTGCAGAAATGATTCCTGGCAAAAACCAAGACGCCTATGCACGTCTTCGGGTTCAGGTTCTTTTCTAAGAATTTGCAACACAGATCCAAAACTCCTAATATACTTAAGTAGTCCGCTGTTATTAAAAGAGAGTAGACGTTATCATCGTTTATTTCTAGCTTCCTTAAATATATGTAAACTAGAAGCTTCTGTAGCATTTCTGAGGTTACGCCGGGCAAATGTACTCTGTTCTTCTCCCTGTTGTGTAAAGTTGTTGTGAAGAGTGCTCTGAAAATGAAGACTGGCTAAAGTTAATGACAAACATTTTTTACAATAAATATTTGATATAACTTTGATAATGGAGTGTTTGCTGCCTTGGGCAAGTTGTTAATTTTATTTTATGAATAACGCGCATCTATCACAGTAACTAGAGCGATGTCATCTACTCCGACAGCAGCCCTAGAAGTTATCCCAAAATCTATCACCGGTTCATATAATGGTGAAAACAGAAGGGTGGTCAGCAGCATGCTGACTCAGGAACAATAACGACTAGAGAGGTACTTCCTATTCCAAGATTATGGAAATATCTATATCGGAATCAACTCTGGGGATTCCACAAGTCATTTGAGACTTGAATAAAGGATCAAAGCAAATAGGAGGAAAAGTTTAATACCCTATAATACTCTGGTATGGTTTATGGACGGCTCCAAAACGGCCAGGCGGTGTAGGAATATATAGACTCAGACTCAGATAAAGGTACAGTCTGGAGAGGTTTCCCAGTGTATTTCAAACATAAATCCTTCACGACAATGGCATGTTTAGCATGGAATATCCGTAGAGGTTATAAACGTAAACTTGTATACATATTCTCTGACAGTCAAGCAACAATTAAGGCTTTAGACAAGGTAAGTTCAAAACTTGTCTGAGGATGTTTACAAATGCTGACTGAAGGGATCCGAAACAGAGTTCATTGGTCTAGAGTCATGTGGCATATCTCCCAGTGTTGTCAGGGGAGGCTCTCGGGAAATGGACTGAGTAACAACATAGAAAATACTGGTCTTCAAGGCAAGGCCATGCGAAGGAACTTATGGAACTTGCAGAAAAGAACGAATAAGTTGCTGAGCTTGAATAAAATTCGCCTCAGGAAAATGACGAGACTTATAACAGAGGACAATGGGCGAGTGTCCAGAATATGCACGTAGTAGAATAACGTTCCTAGGAAAACCTCATCTGGAACCCAAGCAACTGAGAGAAGGAAGCTTTTGGGACTTGTAGAAAGGACAAAACTACTTGCTGAATACGCTTGAACAGTGGGACGTACAACAGGCCCAATAAGGCCGCGGTGCTATTGGATTTGAAAAGAACCTACGTGTGGTACAAGAAGAAGTGGCTGTACAAAGGCAATATGCTAGACTATGCATGACACTATTACCAGTGTCATCTGTTAGTAGGAAGTTCAACTAAAACCTAATACCACTGCCCTTTTTTACCAATACAAATATACCTAGAGAGCACTTATTTAAAGAAGAACATATCCATAAGTTAGTAATAAAAGCGTTTTGAAAATCATTTATAATTTATATAAGGAGTTATTAACACAATTGCTCGTATACTTTACATTGACTCCCATTACAGATAATGCAATCACCCCATTAAAGAAGGTGTCCTAAAACGAATGGGCCAAAGGTAGCTTCCTTAAGTCGAGATAAAGCGATTTACATCAAGTATCTTACAATTTTGCATTCTTATAAAGTTACGAGATATATATTTTTATTGCATTTTTTAAGATAACTCCACCATTTTTTCAATAAATTTGGAAAAAGGAAATAGTAGCTAGAAATAGGTACTTGAGACATCAATTCTTTGTTATATTCTTTGTTGTTAGAGATTAGAGATTTTAAGAAAATGCAAATGTTTTATGAAATATCACAACTGATTTTAATTTTCTGCAGTAGATATTAGTTTATACAGAAATTGATTCAGATATCAAAGTGTCACTGTTTTGCTAAATTTGTATCTTTAAATGTTGCTTCTATAAATTACATTCAAAGATGTAGGTATATCGTATTAGTCACTCACATTACAACAGAAATAGATCGTAAAAAGTAGCTATTTACTAAAATGATGAAATTCAGTTAGAATAGAATTTCCCCAAATCTAGCTATCCCTAATCGACAACTACAGCAATTTCTTAAAATCCCTACCAACAAAAAAAATACGACAAAGAACATAAATCTATTTAAAATTATCTGTGTTATAATTGCAAATAACCTTGTATTCATTGAAGTTTTTTAAGTATTTAAAAATATGACACAGTAAAATCTTTACAAAAAAAATAAATTGTACCAAATGATCTGAAATAAACATGTTTATTTTCACCTAAAAGAACTACCCTTGAAGTATAATCTAATCGTTTCCGGACATTCTGTATAAAAGAACGGCGCTGCTTCAGACATCTGTATTTCTTGGAAAATTCCCAATTTTTTCTTCCAAATTTGAATCTGTAATTCATTTGTGTTGGTAGAATATCACTTTCTACAAAACTGCAAAACTGAGAAAATAAATGACAACTTTGACTTCCTGAACATAAATCTGAATTTATTTTCAGGCAAAAGGATTAAACCTATCTAAGTTACCAGTCAGTATTCTTTTCTGCGCGATTCTCTTTTAAATAGCATCTGATCATCATAGAATACTTAATGTTGGATTTGTTTTCAAGTCAAGAGTAAGATATATACCAAAAATTATTTGTATCTTTTATTAAAAAAAAGTTAAATATTAGAGTATAATAAGAATAAATGAATAATGCTCGTAAAGGGGAAATGTTAGATTAGATAAATTCAGGTTCACTTTCCTCCTGTCAAGAAACATTTTCCCAAATTTTGCAGTTTTTCAGAAAAAGGTATACAACTGTCTAAAAACAATTTCAGATTCGATGTACAGCAAGAATTATCAGAATCTGAAGCCAAGCCAATCTTCTATGTAATTATCACCGACTCTTTTAGGAATAACATCATGTAAATAAAAAACTCGCTACTTGAATTTACCTGAAATAAGAACTGCAAGCACAAAGTATTGCCCTATGCACTGGAATTTCGGCACCATCATCTAGCACAATGGTGGCATCGCACAGTTGGTTGTTTTCTTTCAGCTCAAAAAGGGCTTGCATGGCCTGTATACTCATACATCTTCCAGAACCACCATCCACAGACCTGCTGACGATGGTACTCGTTTCGCCCATCTCATTATTTTGAGCCAGAATGTTATGTAGGATTTAAACACGAATAATTTAGGATAGATTGATGATGTTTAACGTGAAATGATGAAAAGTCAAATTTGAAGGATTAAAACAATGGACGCATTTTAATGTTCCCTGGATACTAAATGCTTATTGTTAATATCTCTACTTTCGATTTACGATTCATGAAATGAAATTTTAAGTATTTACGGCTTTCACAGGATACAAAAGGCACTTATATGTCATTTATCTACTTTTTCTGTGACTGGATTGAGAGAGGTACTTGTATATATCATTTTCACTGTAATTTTTAAGAAAACATCTTGTTTTTTCGATAAGTCATTTCTCTTGACGTAACAGAGGTATACTGATGAGACGTTGGCAATAATTTGTAGTAGCATAGAATACATCAAAGCAATTTCGACGAAACATATGTCAATGTCTTTGTAATATACTGGATGTCACAAAAATGTAGGCCTCAAAAGCGTATTCTGCTCTCCAATTTTAAAAAACTCGTTATGAACACTACCTACACTTCTAACTTTTTTCCAAAAATATCTATGCAAACGAAAGCTGTTTCATCAATAAACTTAGGGAAAAAGTGCAAAGATCAAAGACATGGTTATATTGAGTCAGCAAATAAAATTGAAGAATTAAGAACCGGATTCAGAACAAATACTCGAATTTCTTATCAATAATGTCGAGTCCAATACTACTTTTGGGTGATGCTACTTTTGAAAAGATGCAGGATATAATAAACAAATGATAGAGGTTGTTTTTTTTTTGCTTAGGGCAATTGCTTATTTATATACCACGCTAACAATGGCAGTTCTAATATATTATGCATCGAAAATGTCTGTAAAGGAAAAACTCGTACCTGATATGTTTACATTCTCAAATAATGCAATCATTCTGAGAAACATCCTATATTCTTGCTTTCACCTTTGACAACGTTTGATCATGTAAAAAACAACTGTTACAAAGAGTTTTTTTTTGTTTCCACATTTTGAAGACGTAGATTTCTTTCTATCAGCTGTTTTTTACGTGATCAAACTTTGTCAAAGGTGAAAGCAAGAACATAGAATGTATGTATTTTTGAAACATTAATTGTTTAGTATTACATAAGTGATACTCTTAAGACTCAACAAGTTTAACGATTTAAGAGTTATTTTTGATCTCGACTCTCATTTAAGTATCATATTTATGCAGTCGTTGTTAGTGCTAATAAAAATATGGTTTCCTTCAATCATATTTTGCTTTTTCTTTTGTACGTTTGTCCTATAGACGGTGATTGGGGAAGAACCCCACAATATTCGGAAGAGTTGTTCTGGAGTCAAGGACGAACAAAAAAACTTAGTAAATATATGGTCGCATATTAACAGTAACTGATATAGCAATGAAAATATTTTTAATGCTTATTGCGAAAACTGTTACTTCTTAACATTTTATTTTAAATAGATAATGCATTCTAAGCAAAACTCACATTAGTGATTAGTAATTAAATTAAGTCATTTCTGTTGACCTAACAAGGATATATAGATGAAACGTCGGTAATAAATTGCAGTGGTTTACAATACATAAAATCATCTAGGTGTGACCACTAAAGCAAGTGTTATTTAGCGTGCGGAACTATTAAAGAACTAACAAACTCTAGATAGAGAGGGATGTCAAACCAACCAAAGAATATGTAAACTCATTATATAAGGGATACATTATAGAGGGTAATAAAATTAGTGTTAGTTGTCATTAGTGCATAGGGTGTTGTTCATCCTCTATATGTATTTCGATCCTTTGTCTAGTTTGGCCCTAATGGTAAATGACACGACTTGGGTTCAAAATAAATTCCTCTAAAAATTTTGAATTCGTTCCATAAAATATTACATATAACATATAAACTAGCGTGAGTGTTAAAAGATAAAATATTAATTTATGTGAAATTAGTGTTTCTGTGAAAATTAAATGTGAAATAGTAATTGAATACTATTGGAATTTTATTAAAACAAAAAATCTCCATCCATATATTTATTACTGGTTATTTGTAATCTACAAATAAATTACAAACACGTTTATGGATGATGATGATGATGATGAATATGATGATGATGATGGAGCTGTCATTCAACTCTCAAAGATTTTTAGGTGGAATATCTAAATCAGTGATCAGGGAATTTATTCCTAGTTGTAGGGATATTTGGTAGGAAGTAAAGTTCATATAATAATCCATGGATATAGTATGATACCGATGTACGGTGAATCAAGCAGCTAAATAATAATTATGTTTCATCCATATGACACCACTATTTCTATATCCATCCTTACTTATGCATATATTTAATGAGGCAAAAATTAAAACCTGAAACATTGGTTTTAACAGTTTTATGGTATTTTGTTAGTTTCATTATCCATATGGCTAGTATTGTTTTATGCTAGCCAAGTTGGTAAAACTACTCGTAAATGCAAAAAGAAAAACTATCATTGCTGTTTGAAGCCGAAGAAAGAGAAAAATGTCACACGAAGAATTTTAGAAAACTGAAATTCAAAATTGTGATGGCAGTTTTGCTTTTAATAATGGGCCTTGTGTATATATGTCTACTATATAAGGTGGTTGTCGAGGTATAACAGATATTTCGTATGACTAAGTTTAAGCAAAAATTAACTTTTCCCGAATTTTTCAACTATTGGGGTTTGAAGTTGCCAGATCGTATGGGTAGTCGCTAAAGAGTAAATTACATTGTTGCGACTAGAGAGCTAGGTAATTTAATAATTAGCTGGGACTAGAAAAAAGATGTTTATTGTCATAATTGAAAATTGGTCTTTTTAGACACTTTGCGAGAAAACGGACTGCATCGCTATCATTACCAACAGGTACAAAAACTTCTCCATGCGGATCTTCTGCAAGGAGTTCGTCTTTTGAACGGTGGAGCAATCATCTGGATACTCTTTCAAGAACCCTTTTCTGTAAAGAAGCTACATTTGTAAAAGATGGAATCAACAATTTCCAAATGATTATTATGAGTGGGCAATCGAAAATCGAAATTTGAACAGCGAAATGTACCGGGCTTTTTTTGGAAAACGGTCTACTTATACTACTTCAGGACATTCCTCTTCAAATCAGATGGACGATGTACTTTTTACATGATGGAGCTCCAGAAGATGTGTCATTAATTTCCTCAATGAAAAGTATCCAAATCGATGGATAGATAGTGGTGCTTGGCCTCCGCGATCTCCGGATCTCAACCCGTTGAACTTTTTCATGTGGGGGATATGTGACGCAACTTACCTACTCAATGAGAAAGCCTAACTGCAGAGCCAACTCATTCAGAAGATTCATGCAGCGTTTGATGAGGTAAAAAAATATGGAGAACTACAACTGGGACCGAAAGCTTCGACAGAGGATTGAGCAGCTTTACACATTGAGCAGCTTTAATAATTACACTGTAATTATGCTTTTATTAAAATAAACCACATTTTTTTCTAAGCCCTTTAGTCTAAGAATATAATTTACTCTTTAGCAACTACCCATACGATCTGGTAACTTCAAACCCGATATTTCAAAAATCATTGGAAATTCGGGAAAAGTGAATAGAATCATTTTTGCTTAAAATTATTCACAGCATTCATATACGAAGTAAATATATAGAAAATATATTAAGTACGGTCCAGTCACTAACCAAACTATTTTTGTGTTTAAACAGAACATTTATCTAGCTATGTTACCACATACATATAAGTATTTTCACGTATTTTTCAAATTATTGCTTTTAACCACAGAAATAAACTTTATTTATTAACTAGGGAATTCTCGGGAGGAATTTGTAAAGGGTGTATTACTTGATCCAAGGATATTTAAAATAAGCAGTCGTGGGGCGAGTTAAGATGTTACTCCAATGTTATACTCCTTGTAATCAGTATATTTTACTTTATTAACCTGTTCTTTACATATCGTCTGATAAAGTTTAAATTGTCTTGATAAAAAAAATAGAAAAAAAACAAATGATTTATTTAACAAACAACAAATTAATGAGAGCTAATTAATGACAAGCTATAAAACGGATTCATACATTTTTATCAACAATTTCAATTGCCAAAAAGGCACGTATTTCTATCTCAATACTGTGGCCAGTTGAACCCCGACGGTCAGTGACATTACCCCCATAGAGGAGGCAATATTGTACTTTACAATAATATTTGTAATACATGTCAAAAAATGATATTTATAGCATCTCTTATATAGAAATGAATGAATTAAGTGTCCAGTGTTGCCCCATCTTTTCCCAATATCTTTAAAGCTCAATTCCAAATAATTTACTGATAATTTACAAAACTGCCAGTTACATCATATCTATAACTATTTACAACAAATCATGGAAAATAAGTAGGAACATTTCATGAAAAACAACTCCTTCAAGAATTATCAAAAACATGAAACACACTTGCAGTTTCTTACTGGTAATACAAATTATAATAATAAAAACATAGATATCTCCGATCCATCATCAGACATGCAGATGAAATCGACGCCTAAGTAAAAGTCCTCCCTTGCTCCACACTTTCCATAAACACCCACGTAGACAAAAGAATGTATCCTTACATATTCATAAAGCGACACAATTCTTACATAATTTGTCACTGTGCGTAATGCATTTAATAGACGCATTTTTCACGACGGCGTGTTTTCTGCCACCTTAAGTGTGCAAACAACATCAGCATATTTCTCCAGGATTGATTCGGTCTCGCGGAAGGTTTCGGAAAACCCTTCTCCACCCAGGATCCTCATCGTCCACGTCACCACCGCGAAGGTGACGGCGTTGACGGGGAAGGCGCGGATGATGGTGGGTGTGATGCCTCTGAAAAGAGAAGGTACTCCTCCATTTTTGAACGTCTGGTGTAGGCAATCGTAGGAGTTCTTGTACTGGGAAGACGAAATGCCGTCGACTTGCATCCTTGACTTTATCACGTCGACTGGGTAGACCAGTGTCCACGATGCCACTCCTAAAATTGAGTCACGTTGTGGAATTATTTTTGAAAAGTATTTGATGTATACAATATACATGTCAAAACTCAATGAGCTACAAAATGTAAATTTGAAAAAAGTGACAAAACTTTTATGCATTTTTATTTTTGTATGAAATATACGTTTCATCAAATAATTTTTCATATTTGTAGTTTGTTGCTGTATTACAATTTTACCATTCACCCTACATAAAACAGTATAATAAAGCTTGCTTTTAATTTATTGGAAAGGTGGACAATTTTAAAAATAAATGTGACTTACAATTAATGAGTGTTTGCAATTGAAAGTATTTTTTGTAGCAATAAACTAGAATACAAAGCCAAGTTAATATCTGTATAAAAAGCAATTTTTGTTTTTAATATTTACTCAATATCGAATTATACATTATGTGGTATTCCACTGGAATTGCTTTCTTGTTACACCAAGAAGATTATTATTTTTATTTTGGAAATATACAGAAATTTTTTATTTAGTTTATTACAGTCGGTAAAACAATCTTAGCGATAATATAATAACGAAATAATCATAACCAATAACCAGGGATGGGCGTTTACGCGTCGACTTTAATTGTCGACGTCTACGTGTAGACTTCGCGTAGACTATGTAAACAACGTAGACTATGTAGACAATGTAGACAAAGCGGAGTTTGCGCTCTAATTTCAGTTTAATCTAACCTATATTATATTTGCGTTACATTTACGTATGATCTATTTTGTGCTGTACTCAATTCATCACTCAACTTTTTCTGTTTGGCTGTTTTTACATAAACATAAAATGAGCGGACGTAAAGCAAATTATAATTTTGGTCGGTTAAGATTAAGAAAGTGAAAACTTTCATTTTTGTATACTTAATATATATTTTTTAAATTTTTTAAAACAAAAATTATTATAAAAAAATTATATAAATATATAAATTAAGAGTCAGTAAAAAACAGTTTATTTAATTTTAAAATTTTAGTCTCCATTCGTGACCTCATTAAGTGAAAACTAGGGAATATATATAATACTCATATATGTATAGAGGTACATATACCAATAAATACACATAATATTTAGTTTGAGAAAATGCAATAAAAAACATTATCTTGTGCCTCTGCAAATATTTACAGAAATATGTTACCATTTATCGTTTATTGAAAAGCTCAGCTCTATATGATCTGTATTTAAATCTTAGATCTTATATATTTACATAATATGATCTAGGATTGAAACAAAAATTATTTTGAAAGGGTACCTATATTATAAATTAATAGAAATATTTAATAAAATTTTTTTCTATTAATTTCTGTAACTCTAACACTTTTAGAAAAAATAAAATTAACGTGTTCTAACTAAACTAAAATATCTACACAAAGTGTTCTTAAAACTTAATCAGATATTCCAAATTGTTGCTGACTTTAAAAATGATAAAATATTCATTAAAGAATATATGCGACATATCTTTATTTAGAGATTTTATAGAAAAAAAAAAATGTTGGTCAATATGACCTGACCTAAAACTATCAAGGAGCATCAAGCGAGACACACTTTTTTTTTCTCGTGAATTCTCGGCAGATATTGTTTGATCTTTTGTACTCGGTTCATAAATTTTTTTTATAGATGGTTGTGATACTGATAGGTAGGTACTCCAAATTCCAAATTTTCAATTTTTCTTTTTTTTTGCAAGAATCACGAGTTACAGCCTTACGAAATTCTTTTTTTGAGGTACATACCTACCACACCTTTTTCAAGTTTTGAGAGTTTCTTAATTGTTGACATTGTCGACATTGTCTACATTGTCTACATTGTCGACTCTTCCAAATTAAGTCTTCATCTAGGTCATTGTCTACGCGTAGACAATTGCATTGTCTACGTCGACATTGTCTACCTGCTCATCCCTGCCAATAACATAGATGGATAGGATGAGGAAATAAAGCCCCTTTAAAATGGTTACCTCGATCCCTGGACCTAAACCCTTGTAATTATTTCCTTTGGGGAGCGTTGAGGACCACAGTTTATAACTTTTCAGTACATACAGAAAACGAATTATGGGAAAGAATTAAAGTGAAATTAATGTTATCAGAGGTAATGCGCAATTATTGGATAAAATTCATTTTACTTTCCTAAGAAGAATTAATGCCTGCGTTCAAGAACAAGGAAGTCACTTTGAGCATTTACTGTGTTGATTTTTTATTTTATTGATTGATAATGATCAATTATTATATAATTCTAAGACTAAAAATGTAGTTAATTTTGTTTTTTTAACGTCAAGTTTAATCATTATTATTCCCTGCTTTGAGGCTGCAGTTATAAATAATTTTTTAGTAATCGGAATTTTTGCCTATACAGGGTGATTCACAACTTATCCAAAAAAATTTGGGAATAGATGCAGCATGAGAAATGGAATCAATATCGTAAAAATTTTTTTGGTAAAAAACCTTATAGTTTCCGAGAAAAAAAATATTGAAGTTATAGTACATTCAACCACTACATAGCTGGACAACTGTAGTCTCTAGCATCATTCGTCACGTGGCCTCAGCGACTCCGAATACTGAATTCGGATTTTGCAATCGTCGTTGCGATATTTACCTGTTGTTATCTGTGGTGTTTACGGGTTTTTAGTAGTTAGTGTCGAAAATCGGCAGTTAGTTTCAAAAATGGTTTGCGTGTACTCGGAGTTGATGGATATCGTTTTAATTTATGGTGAAGCATTTGTGTTATGGTGAAACAAGATAACATTTGTGTTAGTTCGTAGAAACTGAGTACAACGGACCCAAATGTGTTTACACATTGGTGGATAAAATTTTGAACAATTGTTGTAACATCGGGTATGTCAAATGATTTTATTATTTAAAAACACAAATTAATTTTCTTAATTAATAAAGGCAAAAGCAGTTGAATTTGCCGATATGAAATAGGTCCGATAAAATTCTATTTACATATTTCTTTCCTTGCGAAAGTTTTTGTCCGTTTTTATCACACCGCCATGCCGGTCGCATTGTGCGAGGTCAGGTTTTACAGTGGACCAGTTTCCAGTGCCGTGCAGAAATGTATTTTTAAATCATTTTCGAACTGCCCTTTTTGATTTTTTCTTTACAAAATTGTATTTGTAAGAGTCCCCTGTACATCCAGAATTTTTTTTGGATAAGTTCTGAATCTCCCTGTATGTATTTAATTTATAAAAAATGTCAATTTTACTCGAAATCCATAAACGATATCAAAATTTTGAAAGAGACAAAAAGCTTCTAAAATAGTGCTTATTTTTAAAAATATAAATTCTGGCATCACTGGCGTGCACACGAAAAAGTTACGGGATAGCCAGTGGCGCACAGGCACTAGAAAGAGAATATAATGTATTTGTATTATCACCAAATTCTTTATTTACATTACTCTTGTCACATGTGTAGCAAATTTGAAGTTCCTAAGAAAAACAGTTTTCAAATTATTTGAAAAAAAAACTAGATTATCTATTCTATATAGGTCAGCGGTCGGCAACTGGCGGAATTGTGTCATTAATTTGAGTTCTTAATGGTTAGTAAGCAGATTAAATTTGAGTGCAAATTAAAATAAAAAAATTAGTATAAAATATGAATTTTTTTTCCGGACCTCATTAAATATTTTCAAAAGTATCCGGACCCCACCTAAAATTACTTGCTATATGTAGTTCGGCTAAATAGACTTATTTTCATCCAAGGAACCTGTGGTCAAGCGTTGTCCATCCTTTTGAGGGACATCCTATATAGGCGTTTTTTTATGAAATATTTTGATAAACGTTTTCGCTAACTCATGTAGGTCTATAAATTCACTAAATTTTAATTTCGTCACAATAAAGGGATCTGGTTCTACCGACAATGCTAAACCAATCATATATTGCATAAATGAACATTTTTTTGCTTTAGATTTTGCATATAAGAATGGCTAAAAATGTACAATCTGTTATTTTTAAGATTTGTTGCTTGGCATAAGTACATTAACATTAGGGAATTAGGCATTATTTCTGATTGTGCAAAAACTGATACCTATATTTTCGCATATACATACATTTTAGGAAAATCACTGATTTGATGAGTACTTACTCGTTTTTAATGTAAATCTCATCTAATGCACATGTAAAAATTAGTTGTTTCTTAACTGTGAATAAAACTGTAGTAACATGTTATTGTTATTAGCGGTTTGCAAAAGAACATCTGCATCATTCTTTAGTAGCATTCGTGTCACAAAGTGTCTTCCTACGAACAAGAATAGATCTGCCTGGGAAAATGTTGATATTTTGAACCGTTTTTGAAATATTGAAAGTAAAAGGTCCCTTATTGGTTTCACATTATCTCTTTCAACGCTTCGATTCAATAACGTGTAAAACAATTCCGCAGTTCCTTCCTGTATATCTTAACAGTAAGGTCAGGGTTTCAAAAAAATAAAAGATTTGCGTTGTACAACTCGATAAGTGACAAGTCAGTCGTCTACATAGACCTTGGAGTGATATTTCTGTTGTTGTTTTTATAAGAAATGATGAATTAGAAAAATATTTATAATTGCATTAAATTGTATACATTCCTTTAACTTGTGGGTGAATCAGAACACTGAGCAACATTATTTGTTATTCTTACCTGCTAAACCGCCAGCAAAAAGCATTGACCACGTAGAAACAGGCAGGTTACTGTCAGATCTCGTTAACAATTCGTACGTGAAGAAATAAATGGCAAAAGCTGGTATCTCTCTTCCAACAGTTAAGCCAAGTCCCCTGAACACCCCTTTTACCCCCTCGTTTCCATATATTTTCCTTAGACAATCAACTGGTCCTTTACCTGAGGAGTTGGTCACTTGTAACCTGGATTTTGCTAATTCCATGGGACTGCAAATAAAACTCTGGGCCAGTCCGGCGGCAGCGCCTGCAAATGCATGCGTCCTTAACGATTCTGGATTACTGCTGTGCCTCTGAACATTTCCATAAACTCCGAAGACAATGGCATTTATGCCGGCAACCCCAAGAAGTGGACTGGTAACTCCTCTGTATACTCCTCTCAAACCTTCTTTGGTCACCACAGTTTGTAAGCAGGAGAGGGTTCCCTTGAATTTGGGATTCTTCATGTCTTGCGTTTGTAAGAGCACTTTGACTGTGTCAAGGGGATGACCTACTACCACTCCAGCCATTCCTACAATGTTATAATTAAGATTACAAGCGCACATGTTTTTTTGAAGCAAAAATAATAAAATAACATGATTTGTTTCTGGACTGAATTAATACTGATATAGGGTGATTCATTAACAATGGGAAAGTCGAAAGCTGAAGATACTACTGTGAAATGGTGACCATTGCCGCAAACATACCTTATCCGAAAGTTAATAGTTTCGGAAATACAGGGTGTTGAAAGTTAAAATTTTAAATCGTTTTTTTTTGCGATTATTCTGAAAATATGTAGGTTAGGAACTTGAAAATTTGTGAAACTATATTTTTTTAGGCGACGAATAAGATGCGTGTTGTAATTTCAGCATTGCTCATAGAGGGCGCCACTTACGACCAATTTTACCGAAAATTTAGTTAATAACTTTTTACCCTGTATATTTAACATGAAACTTGATTCAAAACCTGAAAGAGCTATCATTTTTCCATTAATTATGTACTCTTGTTTCATTTCGGTATCTCGATCCGTTTTCGAGAAAAATCGATTTAACGAACACTATGTTTTGATAATATGAGAAATTAAAAGCGAAACAAACCAAGTGTTTCTTCGTGTTATTACAACAATTAACAATAAAACAAATAAAATACGTAATTATGATTTAAAGTAATTGTTCGAAGAATCCACCGTTGACACTGATACACTTTACACGTTTTCTGAGAGATCTTCGAGTTTGAAACAACATATTGGGATTGCGTCTGACTTCGTTGGCAGCGATTTGTATTCTTTGCCACAACTCTTCACACGAGCCAATAGATTCTTTGTAAACTATATCTTTCATTCGAGACCAAATAGAAAAATCAAGAGGATTGAAGTCCGGACTTCTGGATGGCCAAGCAAAAATGCTTACATGGCCAATCCAGCGATTTGGAAAAACTGCATCTAAATATGCACGCACTGGCCAAGAAAAATGCGGTGGAGCTCCGTCGTGCATGAACCACATGTCTCTTCTTAAATAAAGTGGAACTTCTTCAAGCCGTGGAAGCATTTTTACTTGGCCACCCAGAAGTCCGGACTTCAATCCTCTTCATTTTTCTATTTGGAAGAATCTATTGGTTCGTGTGAAGAGTTGTGGCAAAGAATACAAATCGCTGCCAACGAAGTCAAACGCAATCCCAATATGTTGTTTCAAACTCGAAGATCTCTCAGAAAACGTTGTGTAAAGTGTGTAAATGTCAACGGTGGATTCTTCGAACACTGACTTTAAATCATTATTACGAATTTCATTTGTTTTATTGTTAATTGTTGTAATAACACGAAGAAACACTTGGTTTGTTTCGCTTTTAATTTCTCGTATTATCAAAACATAGTGTTCGTTAAATCGATTTTTCTCGAAAACGGATCGAGATACCGAAATGAAACAAGAATACACAATTAATGGAAAAATGATTGCTCTTTCAGGTTTTGAATCAAGTTTCATGTTAGACATACAGGGTAAAAAGTTATTAACTAAATTTTCGGTAAAATTGGTCGTAAGTGGCGCCCTCTATGAGCAATGCTGAAATTACAACACGCATCTTATTCGTCGCCTAAAAAAATATAGTTTCACAAATTTTCAAGTTCCTAACCTACATATTTTCAGAATAATCGCAAAAAAACGATTTAAAATTTTAACTTTCAACACCCTGTATTTCCGAAACTATCAACTTTCGGATAAGGCATGTTTGCGCCAATGGTCACCATTTCACGTGTAGTATCTTCAACTTTCGATTTTCCCATTGTTAATGAATCACCCTGTATAAATTACCTACTGGTCAGTTTTTCACAATAAATGCTTTAAAATGTATACATATTATAGCACCATTACAGAATATTGATTTTGTAGTGCTACTATAATTGTTATTACTCAAAATGTACCTCCAACACATCCAGCGAAAAAATCAAGAGCCATGGCCAGGGCTTTCGATGTGATAAACGTCTACAAACAATGTTAATTTCCAAGGAACCGACGAAAACTGCACCTTCAGCTGATATCTGGATTGCAGTGGGCTTTGGATTGTGAAAAATAATGAATCCATGTACCAATAGCACAAAATCTGCAAACAAGAAAAAATTACAATCTACTTTGTTCTTATTCTCGACACCGATATTGGGACAAATTTTAATGGATAATTTCTCTCTTCCCACGATTCGATTTTAGTTGATCCACTTTTGACCATCGTTTAATTTCTGTTTGAGTTGAAATTGATTATCAGTTTGAGTTTTAAAATTTAAAGTATCGACTGCTACTATTCGAGTAGTTGTAATAATGCAGTTCGTTAAAAATAAAATATATATATTTGGTATGGATAAAAATGTGACAAATGTTGAAGAACGTAGTGACTTCCACGTTCACATTCTTATGCTTCTAGCACGTTGTCAGCCACGGGAATCTTCTGTTGATCAACTAAAATCGATTCATGGAAACCCGCTTAATGAATGGATGGAATGTCTCCAAAATTACTTCACTGAAAGTGTACAGTTTGGTTTACTGTACTGCCACTATGATGGCTTAAAAACACAGTATTGCCACTATGATGGCATAAAAACTTGATTCACTTTTATTGAAACAAACTTGATGAAGTGGACTGTATATTTGTATAATTAAAAATGTAAACTTTTAACAAAATAGTGAGACATGTTGCCTCAACAGGCCTTCGTACACATCTGGCTTTTTACTTGACCGTGCAGGGTGCAGAGGGTATAGAAAGTAGATGTTTGTTTTATGTGGCAGGTCTCTTAAAAAAGGTCTGTCGCAATTGAAGAAATGCCAGATTAGTACGACAGGACCGTCTTACGCTCTAACATCTCGGCCGGCCTTGAAAAGTTCCATATTTCAAAACCAACTAGGTAATAAAATCTAAACACATTTTTCTTCTTTGTTACATTTAAGGTAAATAACAAACCTTATAAAATACTCAAGATAAATTTATACACAAACGTGATTAAAGTATATGAGTATTAAACTAAACTTAAAAAAGTGAAATATAGAGTTATTGACTCTTTATAAATATCAATCACCATGTTTTTATGTCTCCTTATTGCATTTCCTTATCACTATAGAGAGTTCAGAAAAGATAATTATTATCAGTCAATTGGAAGGACGCACACGTTTGTAACAGCGCGTTTGAGCACTTCACCCTGTACACGCACTTCCACAACTCTCACAATACCGTCGCTTCCAGGAAAGAGGGATGTCACCCTACCAAGAGGCCATTGAAACGGTGGTACGTTGTCTTTTTTTACTAGAACTAATGTTCCAATTTTAAGCATTTCACTGGACTGCTGCCGCCATTTTACCCGTGTCTGCAGCTCGTTCAGGTACTCCTTTCGCCAACGAACCCAAAATTGTTGTGCTATAGCTTGCATTCTTTGAAACTTGCAAAGTCTATTTTCAGGCACGTGTCGTACATCACGTTCAGGCAGAACAGTTATCGGTCTTCCAATGAGGAAATGTGCCGTGGTCAATGCCGTAAAGTCGCCAGAGTCGTTATGGAGGGAACAAAGGGGACGTGAATTTAGAATAGCTTCAATTTCTGTCAGCAAGGTATAAAATTCCTCATACGTCAAAAACGAATTTCCCAAAACCCTTTTGATATGATGTTTACAACTCTTAATTCCGGCTTCCCGTATACCCCCGAAGGTCGGTGACCTTGCAGGAATAAAATGCCATGAAATCCTGTCTTCTACTAATTTATTTGCGATATAGGTATTTTCAGAACTCAAAAAGTCATACAATCTTTTTATTTCATTATTCGCGCCGACAAAATTTAAACCATTGTCAGAATAAATACCACTGGGTTTGCCCCGTCTGTTAATAAATCTTTTAAGGGCGGCTAGGAAGGCATCCGTAGTGAGATCAGTTACTAACTCTAAATGTATCGCTCTTGTGCTTAAACAAATTATTAAACACATATACCCCTTAATGAATTTTGCTCCGCGTGTTTTTTTATCTTTAAGATTAAATGGGCCACCATAATCAATACCGATATTCATAAATGGAGCATAATCGTTTACTCTATAATCAGGTAGATTACCCATTAAATACGTCATAGGTTTCCGTTTATTGCGGAAACAAACTATACATTGTCTTACAATTTTTTTGCACACACTTTTGGCCGTAATAGGCCAACATTTTTGTCTAATGGAACACATTAAATTCTGAACGCCGCAATGTAATAACTTATTGTGTTCATTCAATATTATTAATTCTGTTAATCGATGACTTTTAGGCAATATTTTTTGATGTTTTTGATCAAAACTTGCATTAGAATTTTCTAACCGTCCTCCTACACGCATGACATTATTGTGAAGGAAAGGACTTAAAGGTAAAAGTTGACTTCGTTTATTCAACGTTTTATTTTGCAACAGATCATTATAATCTTGTTGGAAGCATTCTATTTGAGCTACCTTTACTAACAACAATAATGAATTTTCAATTTCTACAAGAGTAATCAGCCCTAACAATTTTTCTTTAACCTGTCGACAATTGCTTACAAATCGTAAAATATAACTAGTGACCTTCAATAATTTATTAAACGACGAATATTTGCAAATTAATTTAGAAAAAATATCAATATTTTCCGCACCAATCAAAACGTTAGATACGGAACGTTGTTCGGGGACCACAAATCAAAATTTAAATCTATATTACTAATATGCCATTCCGATTTAGGATGACGAAGCCAGTCCGGTCCATTCCACCATAATTTTGAGGTTTTTAACAAACTAGCAGGTAAGCCCCGTGTCAATATATCTGCAGGGTTTTCGTGTGATCTAATATGATGCCAATCAGATTTAGTAGTCAAAGAAATAATTTCTGAAACCCTATTGGCAACAAAGGTTTTCCATTTGCTAATGTCACCTTTCAACCACGCTAATGTAATTGAAGAATCTGTCCACAGATATTTATTATGAAAATTGATTTCTAATTAGTCCTCCGCCTTTTTTGCTAAATTAGCCTAAAGAACTGCTGCACATATTCTAATCGCGGTAAACATACTGATTTTATAGGAGCGGTCCGAGATTTTGCACAAAGTAACTGTGATGACAGTAACCCATTTGATCTCTCAGACCTCATTAATATATTCTAAATCTCTTTGAAAATTCAACCATTTATTTAGTATATTCGATGGTACATCATGATCCCACGAAATTTTTAATTTCCATAACTCCTGCATTAAAAGTTTTGCGATGATGATTACTGGCCCTAAAAGACCTAACGGATCATATAATTGACATATGACTCACAAAATCTTTCGCTTCGTAATACTTGTTATATTAGAATCAAATTCACCAATACGATATTGTATAATATCAGACGATGCATCCCAGAATACACCTAACGTCTTGTTATTTTCGATTTCCCCTATTTGCAATCTCAATAAAACAGCAAATAGTTCATTTTACAGGGCTGGGCCGATAAACTGTGTATCATTCAAACTTAACCCTGTGTTTGTTTTACTTGAGTCATTAAAAACCATTCTACATTTTGTAGTTATACTATGATGCGGCATGTAATACCCCTTACCTTTACTCTCATCCGTTTCTACAATCTCTGACATATGTCCAAGAGAGAGATATTCTTCCATAAATTTTATATATTCTGTCCGTAACGCCAAATTTTTATTTAGTTTACCTAGTAAAACAATTTAAGAGCTTTGTCCCGTGAATTACCTAAACTTTTAACCGAGTCCTTAAATGGTATATTAACAATAAAACGTCCATTTGTATCACGCTTAGTAGTATTTTCAAAATGTAACTCACAGAACTTTTCAGCATCTGATAAAATATTATTTTTATTAGAAACCTCTTCAATCGACCAAAATTTAGAAATGTTATTATTAATCAAATCGTCACTTGCGGATAAAAGAGTGCAACTTACATTACTCGATAAATTCATTAGCACTTATTTTTTCAGTAAGTAACCTTCCAGCTAACACACAACCAAAGGCAGTGTTTTGGAGCATTGCCATGTTATCACCTAATTTATACTGTCCATCGCGTAAAATTGACCAGAAAACATGAGAACCTAATAACAAATCTATTTCACTCGAAACATTAAATTGAGGATCTGCTAGACTGACCCAATTAGGTATATTAATTATAGTTTTATCAAATTATACTTTTGGTACATTGCTTGTGATTTGTGGAATAACAAGACAGTTTATTTTCATTCTAAAATCGCTATTACGTCATGACAATGTTATATTTATCTGATTATTCAGTGTAACACACGTTTTTCCTATTCCATTAACAACATGATTAGTTTTATGTTTTTTAACATTTAATTTATTCGCGAACCTTTCTGTGGCGAGGCTGTATCTAACAACGCACGCCCTGTAATAACCTTTCAATCAATTAAAATATTAACTAGTGCAGTTGCTAGTAGTACCTGCGAATGCTCTGCCATTGTCTTCACATGACATGTACCCTTTTGCAGAAAACTATTTGAAGGGTCTAATCTAGCATTTATTTGAACGATTTCTGTCAACACGCCCAATAAGTGCAGGGGTTTCTCTGTACCTATCGCCCCCGCTCCCGCCTGCCAGGACCGGGTCTCTCACCGGCTGGGTTTGCGATGTTTCTAAATTTTCAGTATTCATACGCGACAAATTTTCAATATGTATTAATTAATTATGTGGTTTTCTACATTTAACACATTTTTGCGCTTTACAATTCCAGTACACGTGGTTGGGTTTCAAGCAATTCAGACACAATTTAATTCTTTTCAACTCTGCTATACGCTCGTTAATAGAGAGTTGCAGAAATTTATTACAATTATAAATCGCGTGTGATTCCCTACAATAATAACATTGCAATTCTCTCCTTGTATCTTTATTATTAGATACAAAGCTATTTGTAAAATCTTTATTTTTTATTTGTTTATTACGTGGCAGTTTTTTTACTTGGTTAACCTCTAGCTTTTCTAAAATTTCACATTTATGTTTTAAAAATTGGTGCATGTCCTCCATTGAGAGTAACTCTTGGTTATATTGAAAGGATTCCCAGTCTCGTCTGGTTATATCATCAAATTTCATAGTCATTAAATAGCTTTGTTTGCGGAGCCTGTCAAATTAGTCCGGGATCAGTCAGAAGCAATCGTTTAGCTACTTCTTTTACGCTATGCTTGTAGGAAATAGCACAGAAAGTAGCTGGACGACTGCTTCTGACTGATCCCGGACTAATTTGACAGGCTCCGCGAACAGAGCTAATATATAATTTAGCCTATCCCACGAGTTTACACTCTCGCCAAGGGACTCTAGCGACCTCAAATGTTTTTTAAACGCATCGTATAGATTACGCAAATCCTTATAAGACTCTTTTAATAAAGTCGGATATTTAAAAATTGATTTCAAATGATTGTGTATCATTAAAGCCTTATTAGCAAATGGATCTTCGAGGAGAGACCAAGCTACCGTATAATTTTCGGCAGTTGCTTCCAACGATTTTATAATTGTAGCCGCGTCTTTTGTTAACGCTGAACGCAAATAATAAAACCTTTGTGTATTATTCAAACCGACATTCTCATCTACTAGTGCCTTAAAACCGTCCTTAAATTCTAACTAATTTTGATATTGACCATCAAATTTTGGTAGATTTATGGTTGGTAATTTAATAATTGAATTATCTATCACAACTGAATTTCTTGCATTACGAACAGAACCTGAATTCGAGTTCCGCTCTTGATTTTCATATATTTTATTTTCATATTCTGAGCAGCATTGTTTAGCTTCTGACAACAATTTAAAATATTGCGTTTCAATTCAAAGTGTTGCCTTTCTAACGGGTTGTTTAACTCGTCCGTGTCATCATTTCGAGTTCGGACTGTACCTTCACAAATTCGTCTAAACATCCCTCAATTTTGCCTATTCGCATACCAATTTCTGTCACCATAGACCCATCTAAATTATTTTTATCAATCGAATTAAGGTATGACTGAAACCGCGTTAATTTACCTTTAATTTGTCCCCGTTTAATATTTAAATTATCCGACATCTTGCCGACAAAAATTCACTGTTATTTTTAAATTCGCAAGAAAGGAAAACTAGGTAAAATAAAATCACTTACAGTTTAGGAATTACAGGAACGACTCTACCTTTTGCCTCTTGCACCTTGTAGATGTTTTGTGATCACCACATTTAATCCGGAGATGAAGGACCATATGTACAGTTTCGTTTACTGTACTGCCACTATGATGGCTTAAAAACACTGTATTGCCACTATGATGGCATAAAAACTTCTTTCTGTTAAAAATGTAAACTTTTAACAAAATAGTGAGACATGTTGCCTCAACAGGCCTTCGTACACATCTGGCTTTTTACTTGACCGTGCAGGGTGCAGAGGGTATAGAAAGTAGATGTTTGTTTTATGTGGCAGGTCCCTTAAAAAAGGTCTGTCGCAATTGATGAAATGCCAGATTAGTACGACAGGACCGTCTTACGCTCTAACATAAATCATTGAGGAAATTTTAGGTAGTATAGTTAACTTTTATTCAGTGAGCCTCCATGATTGTGTTCCTAATACTGTCAGGGTTTCCAGACTTCTGATCCTAGCTATAACGGATTTGCATTGTACAGGTTTCAGGACTATGTCCTGATTATTTAGTAAAGGCGAATTTTCACTTATTGTTTTTAGTTGAAACACTTTTGTTGACCAGTAAAACTTTTTGTTCACACATTTGTTTAAAAACCGATGCATAATTTGTTGTAATAGTCTTGTTAAAAGAAAGAAAGAAGAATGAAAAAAACAAAAAAATTATAAAATTTGAATGAGTCAAACTTTTTTTTATCTACTAAACAATTGACTTGAAACAAACGTCTCAGGATCATTTTTTATAAGAACTGTTACTCAATCATTCACCAAAATCAGTTCATGAGAACACCTCACGTTTCAATTGAAACAGAAAATCATTTTAGGAATACAATGTTCCTCTTTTTTATTGTTTTGATGGAAGAAATCATTCCTAAAATCTTGTTATATCCAGTACACTTCAAGTCCTGTAAGTCCTTGTTTATTAAAATTATTAACATATTATTACAATCATTATTATTAAAGTTGCATAATATTAAAACGAAAATATACTTTTTTCTTGCAACAATTTTTTTGTAAATTAATTGAACGACTTTAATTATTATTATTTAGAATATTCACTCCTTAAACATTTATATCAGAAATTTAGAAATTAAAGATAAAATATAATTAATTGTATGTTCTTTCAAATTCAAATGGCATGTCTCATTTTATTGCATTGAACTTAATCCAAAACAGGGTCTAAAAATAATTATTTCGTTCTGACATTGATAAAAAACAAGACTGGTGCGTAAATTTCGTTAAGATAAATTTGTACAATTAAAAAACGTTGGCTGATAATCTTTGACATATAGATTAGTATAACTCTGGTAGTTTCAAGATAGCATGAATTATTAACACTTTTTCATATCATACATTGTACTTTAGTCATTATTTCTTAATTAGCTTATTTGGATGACGTCAAAATATTGCAAATATATTTTTAGATTATACTATTTCTTTAGTTATGGACACGAGAATTATAAATAGAAACAATTGCAAATCTACAACTTAAAAAAATCATTTAAAAAAATATATATTATATAAGTGATGCAAGTGATTATTTTTTCATGTACGATGGACACCCCCGTGTTTAAATGAAACTGGTGCATATGGATTTAGCAATTTTTTTTGTAACTGACAGAACCACACATTTACTTTAACTCTGTTTCTAGAATGCGAAGGGTTTTTGGCCTTTTTACAAGCTTTTATTTAACTTGCCTTGTTAGTATGGGTCAAATCTTGCAACTAAATTTTAAAACAGTTATCCCCAACCGATTGAGCTGAAATTTTGCATACAAGTTTAGTTTGGATGACTATGGAATGGTGGCACTAAAAGCTTGTTTCAAATTTTTTTTTATATACATGAATCTATTTGTAACCAAATTTGAGATAGAAAATACCAGTTAAAAGTAGTTAATATTTTTTTTGGATGCTGTAGTTGACTTTGCGAAAACAATTGATAAATTACATTTGTTTGCGTATATTAAAATCAACGTACCTTTATTAATTAATTTCTCTGGTTAATTCTTTATAAAAACAATTATGTTCAGTCATCAAGAATGAATTGAACATTAATAATGCTTCACTTTTGAATTTTTTTAACTTTGAAATATTACTAACAATTCACTCTCTTACCACTTACTGGATGGTTCAAACAAAACTGATGGTTCATTATCATGGCGTTAAAATGATTTAACTAAGACTGCAGGTCAAGAGATTATTATTATTATTTATTGTAGGTCAAAAGTTCTACATTAGATATGGTTTTTGTGAATTAATTGAAAACTTCCACAGCTTTTCGAGAAATTTATTACCGATTTTTTCCCTCAGCAAATACTTCTCAATAAATATGTATTTACCTTTGTTTGTATTTCAAAAATTACTTTGTTCTTTATTCTTGTTCCCACTTATTTTTCAGAGACAAAGAACTGCATGGCCTAGAATAAATATTGGCCCCATATAGGAATTTAAAAACGAGGAAGTTTAAAAGTATTGATAAAGAAAATTAATAAAAAATTGATTCAGTTTTATTTAATAATTATGAGACAATCCTAAAATAATTTCAAGTATTTTCTGTTTAGAAAACTTTAGTTTTATTTCACATTTAGTTTGTGGCAGACGTATATTAAAATTGTGACACGCTATTTCGACACCTCTACAAAATACGAAATAAATACTCACATACACTTTTCTGAATTTCCCATGATTGGAGCAGAGTAAAGAATATATTAATTAAATCTTACCAAAAACGTTCATTTATACTTACTTGGAACATCCGAAATTAGCCATATTTTGCACCATCATTAATTATTATTAGTTTATTCACATTATTTGAAATAAATAACATAATATCCATAATGTCTGTGGCTTTTAAGCTATGGCTCAACTAAATTAATTAATTTAAACAGAGGCGTACTGATTATGCAAAGATCTCCAAAGTTAATAATAAGTTACTTTTATGTTAATTTTGTTTTCACTTTCAAATCCGCAAGTAATTTTCATAAAATAAAATTGCAAAAGTTATTTATTTTTGGTATAGGTAGTATTACTTTTTTTCTGGTTTGTATGATTATTTTTCTACATGCGTAAAAATTTAAAAACTCTGAGAATTAAAAAGTTTTGGAAATTCAATAATATTCGACCAAAATATTGGAGAAGAAAAATTGTATCGTTAAAAGAAAATTAAGAGAGTCCGCGATTATTATAGTAAACGATGTTAGGGTACAAATATTAAAAATCCTAAGCACCGCGCTGATGCTGATGTAAGGCAGACTATAGAAAATTATTTGTTCCATTATTCTACCACGTGTCCCTAACATTATAAAATGATATGTTTTCAAAATACAGAACAATGGTAATTTTTTAATGAGCTTTTGTCTGAGTTAAAAATGTTTTTATTTTTTAATGAATACTAAAAGTTGAACCTTTACTTTCTAGATATTGCAAACACGCCCTTTGATTTTTTGATAAAGTGAGAGGTATATAAATATACAAAGAGATAGGTAAATAATTAAAAAGTAATGTTGAGTGATATTTTATTTCAAGATTATAAACTATAATGGTAAAGATCCAGGAAACGTTGTCTACACTGTAGGCTTTTGCATGTAAATCCATATGGTGTCAGGAAAAGATAGGTGTTTCTTTTAGGTTCAAATGAAAACAACTTGTAAGAAGTGTTATTTTAAAAATGCTTTCCATGTTTCTGAAACAAGAATTAAACACATATTTTATACAAAATTTGAATAATGTAAAATAAGAATAGACACGTAAAGAGTTAGAATAGAATATTGACAGGTACCTGCATATTACTTTTCACTTTTAATATTAATTAAACCAGACTTTTAACATTCTTAATGTAAATGAATGAGGCAAAGAAGAGATTGTTACAAAGTCACGTTTATTGACCTTTCATTCGTTCAACTCGAAACTTATAAAACTGCCATACTCAATGAAAAATATTTAAAATCATTGTTTCTTTGATATTTGATATAAGTATCTGTGAATCAAGGCCTTGAGTACATGTATTTTTACGTTACATTAAAACGCGATATATTGTGTGGTATTTATGAGTGTCTAATTGTCAGTTTTAATTTATATTATTGTTATCTCTGATGTTTGTCACTGGAATTCTTCCAGCATTGTTGTGAATTATAATTAGGTACATTAATATTGATTTGATACTATTATCGATGAATTACATAAAAATGCACACAGAAGGTGTGATGTTTGTACAGTTATGTTTTCGAACGATGATAGTGGCATTCTTATTGATCATGATTTTAGAGTGTTATTTTATAACTTATTTCACAATTAAATATAAATATAAACAACGATAAACGTTATCGTTTAACCTCAAACTTTTCCTTAAAAAAAATTTGCAAAGTTAGTCATTATCAATACTGAATAGTTAACAGGATGTAGTTAAAAAAATAAATAACGATACCGATATTGGCAAAATGTGTATTTTCTAGACATATTTTAATGAATGAGAACATTATTTATACTATTATTTATTTATGCTTAAAATATCTTATTAAATAGAAACCAAATTTCAAATTTAGGTTTAGATTTTTTCTTTATGGTTTTTAAAAATGATTTACGACTCTTGTAATGCTTTATGTTTTATTATATGTAGAACATAACTAAATTAATTCAAATCCCATTTAATTGTACTGTCTGTAATTCATAAAAAATGTCACTACAAATATAAGTAGATAGATATACAATTTTTCAAAAACTATGCAACGCGATCCTTACGTATTTTCTGAGATTTAAATTGGAAATTCTTTAGATTATTAAAAAAAAGTTCTTCTAAACTTATATTTAGTTTTTAGGATACAAAATGTCAAAGTTTTTGTATAAAATAACAATCCAAAGATATTTGACACAGATTAGTTAGTCTAAGGGAATCTTATCACCTATTTGAATTAATAAAAAATAACATAAAAGCTTTCATAAATGCTTACAAGCCATGTGACCAATAATTTTGTTTGGAACAGTAATTTTATTTCCTTCGCGTTGGCAATTAAATTTCAGTAAAATTAAAAATTATTAAAACAAGATTACATTAAAACACAACATTCTGTTTCATCGGCTGTGATTGGTGTAATTTTACACGAGATTTTATTCAACCAGTAAAACATTGCATTATCTCGAGCGTAGTTGTAACGGTTTGTCATTGTTCATTGTAAACGAATTATTAATATTGGCGACTCCAAGATTCCAGCTCTGCAATGTCGGTTGCCTAAACTCAGCGGTCACGTGGTTTGTAAACATTTAAACAAATAAAAGTGAATATGAGTGAGAATCAGCTGAATTTTAATTCATTATCTGATTTCGATGGGAATAATAAATTTTCTATAAAGTTCTCGATTGTTATAGACTGGGAAATGAGGTGTTTCAGAATCTCAAATACCCTACAATGATCTGTTCCAGAAAGTTAGATTTCTGATAGTATATAAGGAGAATTTCCGCGCTTACATATCTAATTTTTAGCAACAAATAGGAAACATCAAAAGAAAGAAATAAAAAGTGAAAATTTGTAGTGAATATTAAATTCAAGGTGAATGTTTCAGTGAAAATAATACTGTAAAATCTACTATGGTATTTCTGATTGCTATATTGCTAAGTCTACATTTTCCTGAGCTCCAGCGAAATTCTGCAAAAGCTGACAACACCCCAACCATAGACGACCTCCCAAGAGCGAAGTCTCGAGCCTTTAGGCTTTCAAATAAGGGAAAAACGCCTTTTTGTCCACATTTCCTTAACTTAGCTACCGGCACTTGTATAGTCTTTCCGATCTCAATTGAAGAACCAAGAGGTTGGCAGTATGTACCAGGTTCGGTCGCTGATGCAGCAACTCGGTACTGAAATATTTGAAAAACTTGATGTCATATTTATTTTGCCATGCCCATATACAAGTCTGGTCGAATTAAACGTGGAGGTGGTAGAAATGTATACACCCAGTTGCAGAATGCGCGCAGGGGCAAACGGCGTATAACACAGCTGCACTGGGCGGGTGGGCAATAAACCTCAGTTGTAGACAAGTGGTTGTCAAATTGGCCAGCAGTGCAGTGCAGCAATACGGAATTTGGCGTGATTCAGGTAATTTTAATTTATATTATAGGCACCTTCTATTAATCTTTAATATTACAATTGCGAAAGGGAGAAATAAGAGGGATATTTTGTTTACTAATATTATTACAATATGACATTTTTGAGACCTTTTGAAACAGAACAAAACGAAATTTACCATCAATATAATAAAATTATTTGAGGACATAAATAATTAAAATATGTTGTTGGCCAAATAAACATATAATAGAAATTTTCTACACATTATATACAAATTATTATAATTTTTTACCTTTAGCGAAAACTTTTTTAGGGACGCCTATGAAACTCATTAAATTTTATTGCTGGACATGTTCAACTGACTTCAGAAGGACTATATACACCTCGTATAGTTGGATGTAGATTACGTATTGAACTACCCTGGTATATGAAACCTTTAATTTAACGTACAAATTTGGTATAGCTACCATCTTTATATTTTCCTGTTAACGATAGGAAAGCGGGTGGCGTCTTTACAGAAAAAAAGAATATTATGGGGGAAAAGCGATGTTAGAGCAAAATAGCGTAATGTTAAAAATAGAGACAAGATATCTTACACTATTCACTTCACCAACTAGTAATATAAAAAATCAATAGTGTAAAAATTTTGAATTTTCTAGACGATAACAAAAGGTAAATTTCCAGACTTCTAATGATCCTGGTTTATTGAAAATTTCAGTTGCAACAAAATTCTGATAGATTTTTTTGTGAAATAAACAGTTCTATATTTTTTTTTTCGATTCCACTATGCGATAAATATAAATTTAAGGAAATAAAATAATGTCTCGAAAATCACGTTTTACTAAGAAAATGATAACCTATTTGTTTTTGAAATATAATACGAATCAAATGTACTGATCAAATCTCTAAATATGTACTCATTGACGTTGAAATTTTGGAGTTCTTAGAGATGTATGTATCTCTGAGATAGTTAGATAGATAGAAAATACTGTTATCTTCGTTCGTCACTGACTGAGATAATTCTACATTCAATGAATTTTACTTTTACTTGACAGCCCAAATTTCATATAATCCGTTCGCAACATCTTTTGAGATATTTGCGTACGTGTGATACTTTTTAAAAACTTTAATACACGGTGTAAGTATTGAAATTTAAACCATTTAGGACATAAAGAGCACTTTTCCTTAAAATGTCCCAATGCATGAAATTATCAAAAAATATTATTGTTTTCATATTATAGCGACAATTATAAGCGAAATGAAAATAATACAGTCAACACTTCAATCGAAAACATATTTTTATAATTATTTAGTTTATTAAACTTAACTTTCCTAGCATATTTAAAAATATATAAATATGACATGAAGAATAAAGAATTTTGAAAAAGAAAGATGGAAATTAACCATATTGTAAATAATCATGGGACGAATTTATACAACTGGTTAATACCTTGATTGACGAAGTACTATTACGCTCAATCATGTGCTTCTTTATCGATTCCGTGAAGCGGTTATTTGAATTTGGCGCCCTATCAATACCCACGATCGACGTCCCGACGGCGACGCTCTATAGCCTTCGCTTCTTGACTAAAACAGCTGACACCGACCATGCGTTAAATAAGTTGCTTATTAAAACTTATTAAAACAAATTAAGGCCCATTTGAATAGTTCTCGTTTCACTGTAAGTATTACTAGTATAGTGTTACTTATTCGACTCGATAATTGTAATTAGATATGTTTGTCCGTTTATTTTTAGATCCAAGGATGTAAATATTGCCAAAATATAGATAGAATTACACAATTTCCAATGGAGGGTTTCTTACGAGTAGACAACACGAATTTGCCCGGTTCCCCGACAAATTCGTTTTTGGCGGATGAAGTCGCATCAATTTGTCCCTTGATTACGCCCTCGCCCCCAACGAATGATCTGATAAATCCTCTGCCAGAACCGACACAACTGAATTTGGGGATTGGGCACGAGCTCGCTACAAAATTGCAACATGTTCAAGGTAAAATTTTGATGGCTTAAATTAAATAATAACTGCAATTTTTATTCCGAAATACTATATGAACGTATTTCAATGATTTTTTTTAATTTCGAAAATACAGGATGTCCAAAAACTCTACTGTCATACTTCAAGGATAGCTACCAATTTGGATCAAGTTACTTTAGTGAAATTTTGCTTCCTTAAAAGTTAAAAGCCAAAATATTTTATTAAATTTTGTATGATAATTTCGTTACCTACTTTTTAAATTATTTCAATGCTACTTGGTATTTAAGCTTTGATCTAACACAGTGGTCGCTAAAAACCTCTTAAACGTTCTTTATTTTCTAACACATTTTTGTTGTTAGCGATTTATAAAGAAATAGAATTGGTTTTCAAAACACCACTATAAAAAGTTATAATGGGGTATTTCCATAAAAAAAAGTTAATGTGAATCGTGTAAGCAATTTCATAGGCCATTACTGGGTTATGGACGGACATTATTATTACAGAAAACTTCTTATTTATCTCTGGAACCCTATTAGTAAATAAAAGGAGAAATATAGTGGCATGAGGTTTTATTTTAACTTCCTATTAATAGACGGCGCAATTGAGGCATGATTTAGAACGTCACAGTTGTCCGCCATATTAGTTTTAGTTTTAGGTATATATATTTTTTAATTTCCAGTTAAATAATGATTTCACACAAAAGTAAAACAATATCTTGCAAGTTTTTTTGTCACATTGTCATTTTCTGTTAATATCTGAAAAGGTGACAAACAGACCATTGTTGCATGTCGGTAAAATGTACAGTTCCTGAGAAAATTGAATTTCAATTTTCTACACTGACAAAGTCAATCTCTAATGACATATAATCCTATGAATGTAGTACTGCGTAACCACATTGACGCAGGGCCATATTGGCAAATATGTATTTATTTCTCAATAGTTAGTTCATGTACATAAACTGTAAAAAGGGATTAATCTAGCTACCAATTTGGCGAAAAATTGCATTAGAATACCAAATATTACAAAAAAATAAAACGAAAAACTGTTAATGAAACCCTATATGTTTTAGTTAAAAAAATAAACTTAAATCCACATTGAGTACCCTAAAAACTATCCTATACCGAGTTAGATTGAAATATCTTTAATAGTACCGGAGCAGCGCAAAAAAGATAAAAAATTTCAAATAATGTTGATAACTTTTCAAGGAAGCAAAATTCTACTAGTTTTTCATCCAATAAAGCTACCCTTGAAGTATGACAACATAATTTATAGATACCCTGTATAAATTACATATACAGGATGTTTCAAGTCCATAGCAACTTTAGAGGCGTGCTCGTTGAATCGTATTAGGTCTCGTCGGTTTCCGAGATATAAAATGTAGGAAATTTAAAAAATATATATACTGATAGAACTAATTAAAGACAAAGGTTCTATGAATTGGTGTACAGATATCAACCAACGACGGAGAATTTCTATTTTTTTTCAGAAAATTTTATTTGTAATTGTATTTAAAGAAAATAGTATCTTTTTAAGTTTAAGATTAACTTTCCATATCAGTTAATTAAATTGAAAATAACACCAAAACTATTCATTTCACAAGAAACATTTTTTAACATTAATTTTTTGTTTCAAATGCAGTTTTAAGTAAATGTTATTACTTGAAGAATAACGTGGGGAAAAGCTCCCACAAAATTAAAATGTTGCACCAGTGATTATTTGCCTTGGGTTACGCTGTATTTAAAATGGAATTTGACAAAAAAAATCTATAAATTTTGTGTAAATCGAATAGTTTTAAACATATTTCAAAATGTATCCAACTGTGTAGTAAGCTTTTTTAATATTTTAAATAATAGCTCAAAATGATTAGTTTTTCAAATAAAATGGAAGATATCATTTTTTAAATACAATTAGGAGTTGAATGCTCCTCACAAATTTACAAAAAAATCCATTAACTGACATATTTGTATGCATTCAGAAAATTTTTATCATTAATTATTTACTGAAACTAATAGCCCAAAATTAACAAATATAATATAGTCCAAGAGAATTAACCTCAAAACCTTCGAGATATGGCTGTTGCTTGACGTAACTTAGATATTAGTAAAAATCTGTCGAAAATAATATATACAATGAAAATATAAGGTTGCGCCAAAAAAAAAAGTTGTGCTATTTACAGAACAAAAAAAAAACTGCAAAAATACTCAAAAATGACGTGTTTTTTCTAACATTTTCCAACATAACTTCTTAAATATGCAGTTTACAGAAAAAACTATTACTGATGAAATTGTTTGTTATGAAATTTGCTACAAGATAGAATTATTTTGATACCTGCGCGTATCATATTTTTGTTGCTAAATAGTCAAAACTACGTAAGCAAGTGATGAAAATCGAGGTAATTTGGAAGCGTCAAACGGACAGGCAAGAAATTTTCCAATTCTACTATAAATGTAGATGTAAGTACTTTAAACGATTATAAAACGAAATTCCAAAACCCGATCCAAATCAGTCTGATAGTATTGGTATGAGACAATTTGTTACTAAATTTCAGCGCGAAATGTTATTTTTTTACGTGAGTGCTGGGGTTAAAGTTAGGCATTTTAATTGGCGCTGATTTTTTTACACATACTTAGACTCCGTAACAATCATATAGAATCGTTGGAATGTCAATTTTCTTTTTTTGAATAATTTTTGGAGCGAATTTAAAAGTTAGAAAAATTTTGACTTTATAAACAAATACTTTCGTGAAGCGGTTTTGCGGGTTGGAAAATATACCAAAGTACTAAAAAACAGTTCTCGGAAAGACGCTTAACTTGAAAAAAAGAACGTTCAAATCGGTCCTATAAGTTCCGAGATATAGAGTGTCAAAGTCAACAAGCGCTTGCTGCAAAACTATGTATAATGTAACAACAATAAAAATTGAATTTGGTAGGTTTTTTCAAGAACTTTCCGTATGTGTTTTTATAAATATGATCGCACGTGTGCTTTTTTATGAAAATTCAATGAATATTGTCAAGCCGACCATTTGTGCCGCAAAACCGAGGGGAGGGGATGAATTATAGAAATTGAAATCGCGCGTTCTAAAAAAAAGCGCGCGCGCTTCGGCGTTCAATATCTCGGCTTCTATGGCTCCGATTTTGATGATTTTTTTTTAATCGATAAAGCAAAATGAGAGGAATTCAATTATCAAGATTATTATAAAGCCCTTTTCTGTCTATTACGACTACTTAAAATTTCTCACATTTGTTATACTGTATATTCATGTAAATAGTAATATCGATGGTAGGATATAGGAACATAATCCACTGTTAAAAGGTATTAGTTTTAATAATTGGTAATAATGTTTAAATAAAATCTTGAAATTTTTATTTAATATGTAATTTATTTATTGTATGCATAGAATATAGAAAAAGATATAGATACAAATAATTATTTATTTATGTTTATAAAACGTGTTTATTATATTTTCATTATCATCGTATTATTAAAGTTTTTCACTTTTTTACAACATCATTGCTGTTTTCAGTTATAATATCAGCATTTGAATAAGTACCGTTTTCCATTATTTTCAAATCAGTGTTTAACTAATTGTAAGTAGGTACCACTGTCACATTAACAGCAAATGATGACTTATGGTTGGTTATGGTTGGTTAATTTGATTTTTTAAATTTGCTAGCAATTTCATAGCCATCCTCGCAAGAAAATGGATCATTTTATTTATCACAAAAACCGTCAAAACAGAAAAATTAAAAGATAGGTATATGGAGATGTAATATAGATAGATATAGAGTAAATTTTTACAACAGATTTTGATTAAATATACGGGGTGTATAATTTAGAAAAACCAAGTTTTGGCGGTTCGGTCAATCAAATGCGACAATAAATATGAAATTGAAATAGGTCGAAGACCATTAGACCATTAGAGATGAATATAGGGAAGCTTTATAAAATTCCCCTAAAATTACGCGTAGAATCCAAATATGCAAAAATATATAGGATGTTCCATTTATAATAAGCAAATAGGTGGCGACTACCGGTATAACCGGAAGTACTACAACAATGGCATTATTTTATTTAAACTCTTTTTAAATAAAACTTCCAAAACCACCAGGTCCCAAATTTTCAAAATTCAAATCGAAGTAGTCTCCGAAATATTCTATTGAGCGGTCACCGTATGACAGCTTGTAGAAGAAAATTTTGAGAGCGAAAACAGCAACTATGCTGTAAAAAAACGGAATACTTTAATAATGCAATGATATACGTTTTATAAATATCAAATAAATACATTACATATTAAATAAAAATGTCAAGCTTTTAAACATTATTACGAATTATTAAAACTAATAACTATTAACAATGGACTATGTATTATCTACTATCGATATTATTATTTACATGAATATACAGCAACAATGAAATGTGTGAAATTTTAAGTAGTCGTAATAGGCTGATAGGGCTTTATAATATTTTAATGAAATCTTGATAATTGAATTCCTCTCATTATGATATATTGATTTTAAAAAAATCATCAAAATCGGAGCCGTAGAAGCCGAGATATTGAACGCCGAAGAGGGCACGCTCGTTTTGAACGCGCAATTTCAATTTCTATCATTCATCCCCTCCCCCCGGTTTTGCGGCTCAAATGGTCGGCTTGGCGATATTCATTGAATTTTCATAAAAAAGGCACACGTGTGATAATATTTATAAAAGCACATACGAAAAGTTCTTAAAAAACCTACCAAATTTATATTTTGTTGTTGTTACATTATGCATAGTTTTGCAGCTAACGCTTGTTGACTTTGACACTCGATATCTCGGAACTTTTAGGACCGATTTGAACGTTCTTTTTTTCAAGTTAAGCGTCTTTCCGAGAACTGTTTTTTACTACTTTGGTATATTTTCCAACCCGCAAAACCGCTTCACGAAAGTTATTGTTTATAAAATCAAAATTTTTCTAACTTTTAAATTCGCTCCAAAAATTATTCAAAAAAAGAAAATTGATATTCTAACGATTCTATATGATTGTTAAGGGGTCCAAGTAAGTGTAAAAAAAATTAGGGCAGATTAAAATGTCTAACTTTAACCCCAGCACTCACGTAAAAAAAATAACGACATTTCGCGCTGAAATTTAGTAACAAATTGTCTTATACCAATACTATCAAACCGATTTGGATCAGGTTTTGGAATTTCGTTTTATAATCTACATTTATAGTAGAATTGGACAATTTCTTGCCTGTCAGATTGACACTTCCAAATTACCTCGATTTTCATCACTTTCTTACGTTGTTTTGGCTATTTAGCAACAAAAATATGATATGTGCAGGTATCAAAACAATTCTATCTTATAGCAAATTTCATAACAAACAATTTCACCAGTAATAGTTTTTTCTGTAAACTGCATATTTAAGAAGTTATGTTGGAAAATGTTAGAAAAAACACGTCATTTTTGAGTATTTTTTCAGTTTTTATTTTTTTCTGCAAATAGCACAACTTTTTTTCTTGGCGCAACCTTATATTTTTATTGTATATATTATTTTCGACCGATTTTTACTAATATCCATGTTACGTCAAGCAACAGCCATGTCAATGTGTAATTCTCCTGGACTAATACTATTTAAGTCAGTTCCTTTATAAGACATTTTGATTTAAAATAATCTGATGAACATGCCGCTGATGTATTTATAGAAAATACCCCATGACATATTTAAATAACTTTATATACACAAGTACAATAAAATAAAATTTTGCGTGAAAATATTTTACATAAATTACTAATATTTTTTAAGAATTCTGCTGGCAATGCTGGCATTCATCGCCATCCGCCATCTGAAAACATTAGATTGCACTGTCAGCAATAAACGAATGAACATCGTTAAAATAACATGTGTGACGCTGGCTTTATAACATATGCCAAACTTATCTAACTGCAAATGTGCTGCAATTAGAAACTTAGGGTTAATCCACACTACATAATGTCGATCACGGTTCGTTCTCGGACCGATCGCGGTCTGGTAAAGTCTATAGTAGGATCATATTCGATGCAAAGTAGAGCAAAAAATTGTCAGTCTTTTATCAAAGGAAAAACGTGTCATCATTTTTTAGACGCGTAAAATGAATCTTTTCATATTTAAAATGCAATTGAATGTAAAATCTGAACTACCGTATCATACGCATTGTGTTCTGGTAGTAGCTGTAGTAGCCCAGGTGCTTCGAGTGTACGAAGTGGTCGGTTATTAATCTGGCGAGCTTGGTCGTAAATCAGAGACCGTCTCCAAAAAACAAGTAAACAACAGTACAGAGGTAAAATGTAGTACATATGTGGAGTTTATTGGATTTATAATAAATTACATTTAAAATATTCAAAATAAAAGTAGTTTATGAGAATAAAGGAATTTTTGAAGGAACAGGGTTGCCAGACGTGAACTGATCCCTTCATCCCTTCATAATGCATTAAGAAATTATTCAATTTCTAAACCCCTTAAAACCGTACTGTACTGGATCCCTTGACAGGCAATGATTTATTACTTTGCATCGAATATGATTTTACTATAATCATGTTCACATTATACCGATTCGACCGGAACTTGACTGTTACGGATAGTATGAAATGAATGCACACATTGTTTCCTACTTAATATTTTACCAGACCGAGATTGGACCGAGAACGAACCGTGATCGACATTATAGTGTGGATTAACCCTTATTCAGCTGTAGACGAAACAGATGTTTAAAGTACAAAATGAATAAAAGGATCGTACACAATTTATGTTGGAAACTTTTTCTTGGCCACAGCTGTATATGTAATATTTTCTTTAAATGTTGAAATTTTAGACTCTAACTATAAAGTTAGTAGGTAGGTACTTTCGAAAACATATTAAAAGTTTCTAAAAATAAACAAAACAGTCCAGAAGGGTTATTATATTCTCTCCAATTTCTTGGTCAAGTTATTGAAGCTTGGAAATTTATTACAATTTATGTGTTGCAGTGTAATAATTATCATACCAATATAACTTTAATCAATATATTTCGGGGGAAAGATTTGATTTTGTAAATCGTAGACTGATGATATGATGTTTTAGCACTAAATAACAATAATTGTATAATAACATTGTTACAACAGTGCTTATAGGAATTGGTTGTCCTTATTTTTTCACATAACCGTCTTGCCCGGACTATTTATTCATTCATTAATCGAAAACTTCAAGTTTTTGCTAAGTTGAAAACTATAACAAACAATTTCTGTAAGCACTTTTACTGAAAAATTCATGTTATTTAACGTATTTCTTTCGTATTACAATTTTAGATGACGATAAAGCAGAATCTTCTTCATCTAGTTCCTCTGCCCTGGCCGCGCCTGCATGTGCCCAGTTACTGAATCATAGAAATATTTATCATCATATAGTCAAAGATGAAGACACGGAAGTGCAGGTACAATAAACAGCATTTTATAAAGATCTATTCAATAATGTAAACGTTTATTTAAATTTAAGTCTGACTTTAAATGAAATGGTTTGCAGACAAGTTATTGTTCTCACAATATATTTATTTCCACACAGTCAAACAATATCTATGTCCCTACTAAAGAATGGAATAAACTTTTCAGGAAACAAATGGGAAAGTTCAGCCTCTCCAATTAACTTTTCGTAATCCACCAGACAACTACTTCTTCATGTCATGGAACTGGCCACTAATTCGTAAAATAGCCCTCTGGATCTTTATGTCTGGACTCGTGGCAATGGTCGCTTTGGTCGTTGCTATGATTTCCACTTTACCTAAAGCCTGCAATCCTCAAATCCAGTGGTATCAAGGTAACGTTTTTTATGAAATATTTCCAGCTAGCTTTTATGCTGATCAAGATATGGTGGGTAATTTGAAAGGCATTTCCCAGAAGGCTAAATACTTTGTCAAGCTTGGAGTAAAAGGGGTAAGGTTAAATCCTATATTTCCAACCCCAGACTACCCACGTGATTTTGAGAATATTACTGACTTAGTTAGGATTGACCCAAGTTTAGGAACATTTGACGATTTCAGACGTCTAGTGGAGAGGTTAAAATCTAAAAACATTTCGTTGATATTAGATCTACCCGTGCATCCTTTGGTAAAAAGACTACCCCACAGAAAAACTTCTATTGTAAAAAATGAAACTAATATAGAGCCTCCTAAAGATATAATTGAAGGAGCCATACTTCACTGGATTTCTTATGGGGTAGATGGATTTTACCTAAAAGGCCTCGAGAACCTAGTGGATGATCCAAACTTTGCTTCGTCGTTACGTATATGGAAAAAAATTCTAGGTCCAGATAGAATCATAATAGTGAATGAGACTGTTATAAATGAATCCCCTAAATCAATTATAAACATTGTCCTAAACAATGTGGATTTAGTTGATATTAAACTGGATTTATCTAATGGTGCCAATGCAGTCACTCAGTATATCGGTTCCCTACAAAATGGTACATTGTTCTCAAAACCAAGTATGCCATGGATTCACTGGTCACTAGGCAATGCCAATTCAAGGAGATTGATAAATATTTTACAACATTATAACACTACATTAGGAGCCACACTACTTCAGCTTATGTTACCGGGTACTCCATCTATATTTTATGGAGATGAAATAGGGTTACATGAAATTCTTGATCCTGATGGTGAGAAGCAAGACATCAAACACTTGCATCAACTAAACATGATGCCATGGCAAGGCTATACACCGCCCATGTTAAACTGGATACATAGTAAACTAGTTCCGCCCAATTATGAACAGGTGGAACCAGTTTCAAAAATGATTGAAGAGAGGAACAAATCACCCTCCATTTATATGAATTCCGTCTATAAAGAGGGAGTGAATAAACCAAACACTGAAGTTAAATACGTAGGAGACTTTTTGGTTGTTCAGAGATGGTACCCTAGGAGAAAAGCATATGTAGTTGTTTGTAATCTAGGACACTCTAAACAATCTGCTGATTTGTCCATGCTATTATACAGCGGAGACATCCTGGTTGGACCCAGAGCTGATTCAGTAAGTGATACTATTTCTTTTAAGGAGGTGTCTCTGTGTCCTGGAGAATCGGTGGTAATTAAGTTAAATTAGAGGCAAAGACATAGCATTGTCCTGTATCCAACAACCATAAAAATAGTGAATGGCAATGTCGGTGTCATGACACTTTGCTTATTTTGTGAGTCAAATAATCGTGATTTCATTCCCATGATTATAATAAAGTATACACTATCAACATTTCTTGTTTTATTTTAATTTAATATTTATTACATCTTTTTATAATGTGAGTAATATTTATATATACATAATTATAGTTACTGTGTGATCTGAAGAATTTAATTAATGTAATTATTTATATATTTTTTAAGTAAATGTATATTATTTATTATTAATTTTGTATTTTTACTTTAAAGTTATAATATGATTAAGAGATTATGTTAAATAAAACAATTATATACCTTGAGTCCAAGTCGATTAGGTGACTTCATAGGAACTTTATTTTTGCAATATGGTACATGATATTTCTTCCATGCATTATCAAAAGCAAATGCACACTATTCAGAAATTAGGTAGATAACAGAAATTTCAGTTAAAATTTTTAAATATTTAAAAACATGTATATATGAGTACCATAAAGCCTACCATGCTTCTCAAATTTCTATTTTATGGAATAATAACATCCGAGGACAAAGCTGAATTTCCCCATTGGCTTATATGACATATTGTAGTCTGGACTTGAATGTGATATATTTGCAAAAGTTGATTCCTTAGTTTTCAAATCTTCATTAGGTAACGTACTTAATTTAATTTAAAAATTAATTGTTCATAGTGGGGTTTTCCCGATGAGATCCGTTAATACTTACCTTATAAATGACAATCAATTGACAACCCCTATCTGCATGAATACCTAACTTTGAAAGTATTTTTGTATCAATTATGATATCTTCTATAATTAGTTTTCCCTTGATTCAAGTGCTGTTTATAAAAACAATAACAATTATCCAATGTGCATGGCATCCAATGCATGATTACAATTTTACTACAGCAAAGAATCTATTTTATTGAAAAAAATCAGAGATTGATCATTTGTGTACCATCAGATGTCAATCACAATAATGCTAATTTCATTAGGCCCAGAATAGATCCCTGCAGTACACCCAAACTAATTATAGAATTTTCAAAATTAACGGTAACCATAATTCCATTCTGTGTGCTAAATTAGATATGGGAACAATATAATAAAAAGTGTAGCCAAATATATACCAAATGAAAAACACGTACCAACAAGGTATATGGTGTCAAAAAACTTGATTTGATAAGAATTTTAGGAAGATTTCTAGAATTAATTTAAACTAACTTGGTATCTTTAAAGTGATTCTCTCTTGTTCTAAACTATATTGTTATACTCAGTTAATAATTTTATACTAGAACTGTGAATTGATTTTGAGGGATTTTTTTGTAAATTCAAGGCTATTGTGAAAAATTATGTACATTATTGTTTTTAAAGTATTCTGCATCACCAGCCACTACCTTTTTCCACCTCTCTGGCAGAATATGGATTCCGCATCGAAAGAACAACTAATTTTTTGATGTTCTACCAATCGATTCAATTTTTTGTATCTTCGTAAGATTGAAAGCGCTGCTTAGCCAAGCAATGTTCCATGGATTAGAGCAAGTAGTGATCTGATGAAGCAATATCTTGTTAATATGGCGGGTGGGGTAAAACATCCCATTATAGCCTTTCTAAGCATTTTTTTACTTCATGAGCAACATGTGGTCGAGAGTTGTCATGTTGAAAAATTACCTTTGCTCCAATTGCGGCCATTTTTCCTTCAATGTACGGCTCAAACCCATCAATTGTGTTTAGTATTGTTTACCAGTGGTGGATGGTTTCATTTGGTTGAAGCAGTTCATAGTACACAACACCAACCTGGTCCCACCAAATACAGAGCATGAGGTTCGAACCACAAATATTCGGCCTTGCCGTCGATGTTGATGCGTGATTAGAAAAACCCTATGATTTTCTCTGCTTAGAATTATCATAGCATATCCATTTTTCATTGCCAGTGACAATATGATCAAAAAAAACTTTCCTTTTGTTGTTGACGCAATTGTTCACATGTGAAAAATCCCCGTTCAACATCTCTTGGCTTAAGTTTGTATTGCATCCAATTTCCTTGCCTTTGAATCATAACAAGTACATTTAAACATTTGGAAACTGTTGTGCGATCAACATTCAACAATTCAGCAAGTTCATTTTGCATTTGACATGAATCTTGGTCGAGTAATGCTTCCAATTCCTCGTCTTAGTACTTTTTCAGTTGACAAGAGCGTTCTTTGTCAACTGTATCGAAATCACCACTTCTAAAACCAATATTCACATGTTTTTATCGATGGAGTATGTTTATTGGGAGTTTCCAACAGTACTCAATGACTTTCAGTAGGACTTTTCTTTGTATTAAACAGGAAAAGCAAAACTTCCCGTAAATAGTGTTTTGTTGGCTCATGAATCGACATCTTTGGAGCTAAGAAAAAATATGTAGCTTACACCTCAGCAAAATGATACGTAATAAAAAGTAAAGCCTAACGACAGAGCTTTGATATGAATATAGTTACACTCAGTGCTGGCCCGAGATATATTTTTTGGTAGCGCGAGATCCAATTTAGGCGCCCCCTACTCGATTTTTTCCTTGGGTCAAATATTAAAAAAATGGAATTCTGGTACCAAACAAATAAAGTAGATATTGAAAAACATTTAACTTAAAGTACACATTTATTTATTGCACACTCGTATGTATAAATAAAGCTAGTTATTTTAATGACAAAAAGAATTACGGACTTTGGCATCTGCAAATTTTTTTATAATATTCTCATACGACAGTGTTTGAGCTATATTATTTTCTATAGATAATAAGGCTAAATCAGAAAGTTTGTCTTCTGCAAGAGTCGATCTCAAATACGTTTTAATAAGTTTAAGCTTGCTAAAACTTCGTTCACCTTTAGCTACTGTCACCAGAATCGTTACAAAAATTCGAAGAGCTGTCAAATATAAGGAAACGTATCTTGCCAATTATTTGATGCTAGAATTTGAAGTACCGCTTTCGGATAACCTTTGTCAATATCTAAAAATACAGATAATTTCCCTCGAAAGCTCCAATCCTGAAATATAGCAATTATCATCATGTGTTAGTTTTTTCTCCAACTTTAGGCATGCGTCATTCAAATTTTCATCAGTCCTATTTAAGTCATAAAGAAAATACCAAGTCTCAATAATACTTGACATTTGGGTAAAGCGTGTCTCCAAGGAGTTTATGGTGGTGTCCAACAGAGGGTAGAAAACATTAGTTCTGAATACCACTTCTGGATCCGTCGGAGCGTCATCTTCACATTCATATGAAAACATTTTCTTCTTATTTCGTCTTCGAATCGTTTTAAATTCGAAACTTATTTCAGCTTCCTCGGCTATATTTTTAGCTGCAATGAGAGCATTTTTAAATCCTTCTGTAATTTTTTAAAAATTTTAAACATTTTTGCATCATATTTGTAACCTCCGATAGGTCAACGCGTTCTGACTGCATAGATTTGCTGACAAGATTAATATGGAATAAGACGTCATACCAAATCACTAAAGATAACAAAAACTCGAATTTGTCTAAATTTTCTGCAAGTGATTTTGCTTCTGAAGTTGCCACTGGATCAGTTGACTGTTGATACTCTTCCTCTAAGACATTTTTTACTTCGGCGTACTGATAACGCAGGGTTTTTAAGCTCTGGACTCTACTTTCCCATCTTGTTTCGCATACTTTTTTTAAAGTTAAGTTTTTCAAATGGTGCGAAATAACTTGCCGCTGAAAGATGCCAAATAATGAAACTGACTTAACCAGTTTTTGCTGCGTCAGCTACAACAAGATTCAGACTATGGCAGCCACAAGGATTAAAACATACTCGGGGAAACTTTGATGTTATTCGACTCTGCGCTCCCTTTCTCTGTCCAACCATATATTAGCTCCGTTATCATAGCCTTGTCCTCTACAATTATTCATATCGATTTCATATTTATCTATTATTTCATCCAAAAGTGTTCCTGTTAGCCCTTCTCCACTGGAATCTGTTACAGGTTTGAAACTTAAAAAGCATTCCTGCATATAAAACTCATCCATATCGAAAAACCTAAATGTGACACTCATTTGTTCGGTGTGACTTATTTCGGGTGTACAATCCAATATTATTGAGAAATATTTAGCCTTCTTAATTTTTAAAATTATTTGCCCTCTAATTTCGTTCCCTAATTAATTCATTTTGAATGTTTTTACTAAAATAGTATTGACATGTTTCATTATGAATTATCCGACGCAAATGTTCTGTCATGATAGGATCAAATTTTCCAAATAATTGGACTAAATCAAGAAAGTTTCCATTCTTTGGTGTATTTAATTTATCACTACTGCCCCGAAAAGATAAATTGTGTTCCGCCAAAAAAAGTGTACTTAATGGCTAGCATTCTTTCTAGCACAGAACATCATCTGGATTTATTATCTTCCAGTTGCATTTGAAGAGCTTTGCCAATTCCAGAAAAAGATTTTATTCTTTTAGAGGATTCCAGCCATAAGGATAAAGCTGACTGGTGGTCGTTTGAATTTTCATGTACCTTCAGTATTGGAGAGACACGTGACCAATTGTCAAAGCCAACGTTGCCGAGCTTACAAAGTTTAGACCATTTATATATATAACAACAAAAACAATAAATCTTTTGTGCGGACTTTGAATATATTAGCCACTTTCGGTCATAAACTTCTCCGTTTGACATGACTCGAAAATGTTCATTAGAAAAATGGCACCCTTTTTCATTTCGGGGATAATATTTATTTGACAGCAGTTTGCCGCTGTACAGGCCCTGTAATATAATGGAGTCTATTATTTTAGAAGACAAAGACGATGGCCACAGAGCGATATCTAAAGGTATTTCTGCAGGGGTTGCTAGTATTTCTATAATTTCTGAATTTGATGCAACATGATTATGAAAATTTTTCACAACTGGTAAATCCTGAATAACTGGTACCTCATCCATAACATTTTCATTAGAAATTAAGCTTTCATCTTTGGTTTTACTGGAACAAGGTTTCTCTTCAGTTTTAAGGTACTTTGATAGACATCGTGCGCTTTTTTCGTTATCAGCATCCCTTAATTTCTTTCTCTTCAAATTTTGAGCACCCGATAATTTTTTTGGTGGTTGAGACATTATACCTAATAAATAATACTAGGTACTCAAATGCACACAAAAAGTGAGTAAATTGAAACAGTTTATTAGGATAGAATTTGGATATATAGGATGCACACTTACTTGTTTATAGAATTCTGCCCTCTGCGTTGATACACTGCTATGTTGTACTCGTTCGCTGAATGTATATCTGTTTTTCTTTTCTTTGGCGTATGCTCTCTACATTAACTGTCGAATAACTCTGAAGTAACTCCCTCACATAGCAAAAATACATGTATTTATACATATTATGAAAGGTTTGGTACCTGCTTAATACTATTTAATCTAACTTAAAATATTATTAAATTATGCTACTTATCCTAATTTAAGTAACATTTAATGTTATTCCTCATAAATAGTAATAAAGGGAAAAGCACCCAAGCAGGGTTGGATTACGGGAAAACATTAATACTTTCAGGTAATCTTTACATATAGCAATAAATATAATCTAACTAATAATATTGGTAGCCTTATTTTTATTCAGTTTGTTGTTAATAGTGGGAAATTAGAGGCCAAATTTCAAAGAAAAACACCAAATTTTTCTCAATTGTCGAGGTTTCGTCACTTATCGTGACAGCCTCAGGACACTATAAAATTTAATAATTTCAAAATTACATCACAATTTATAAATAACAAACTTAACATTAGAATATTAAAAAAGTGTGTCTAAAACATTACAATAAAATGAATATAGCAATATCTATATAAACATGAAAAATACAAAAAATACAAATACAGACACACTAACAATTTTTTATATGTCACAAATTTAAAAACAAAAGTATTAAAATTACATAAACAAAATGTTTTTATATAATAAATAATAAAATAACAAAATATGGTGAATGAACAAGATGCGCAACAAACAACAACCTGTACATAACATGCGAAAAAGAAAAATTTAAATTAAAATTAAATCTACGTATATTGTTTATATGTTACTCACATTACAGATTTAAGTGCTTCACTGTGTTTTCCTAGTCTCGTTGTATATAGTATGTCATATAACAATCTTGGACAGTATAGATATAGGTAGAGAATAGCATACACATACATCAAGATCATGTATTAAAATATAAATCAAATTAGAGTTATTTTATTGTACGAGACTAAGGGTGAACAAAAACAAACAAAAAATTTACAAACATTACCTTTTTATCTCCTCTATAAGGTTAAAATATGATCTACTGAGGGTTTCAATATCCGATCTTTTATTTACCGAGCGTTTTTCTTTTTTTTATGCATATCATTTCATCTAATAACCGTTTTTTGATATTATTTTGTTTGCCAATAATCTTCGTTGAATCATAATCAAAACGATGTAAATTACTATAACAGTGTTCGGCAAGTGCAGTATTGTTACTTTTTTTGGCTTTATTGGATTTAATATATTCATACAATCTCTCTTATGTTCCTGAATACAAGTTCCTAAATATCTACCAGTTTGACCTATATAAACCCTATCGCAATCTTTGCAAGGTATCTTATAAACAACATTTGATTGAAGTTCAGCTGGTGTTTTTGTTTTAAGATTTGTATACACATATTTATTTAAAGTATTTTCATTTTTGGGTACTATCTTGATATTTTCTTCATTTCTAAAAACTTTTGCCAACTTCTCTGTGAGACCTTTTACATAAGGGATTTTGTAAAATTTGTTTAAGGTGTCCCTGGCACATTCATTATTTGTTTTTACATTACGATTATTTATTATTTTATTAATTAAGCTATGAGGGTAATTATTTTTTATAAGTATTTCCCTTATGTAATTGATGTTCTGTTTGTGATAATCCTCGTGAGATAAACTAAGAGCTCTATGTTTCAAATTATTTATTATATTAATTTTCATTGATAGCGGATGTGCCGAGTAATAATTTAAAAGTCGTTCAGAGTATGTAGTTTTCTGATACCAATTTGTTTTTATTTTATTATCTTCTTTTATCAGTAATACATCCAAAAATGATATCCTATTTTTTTCTTCCAATTCTATTGTAAAAATTAATCTCTCATGGAACCCATTGAATGTTTCTAATAAAGTGGACACATTATTTTTGTGTACAGACGTAATAATGTCATCTACATACCTTTTAAAAAACAAAGGGGTAAAATCTAGTTTTTCAAGACATTTGTCCTGTACCTCCTGCATCACAATATCCGCGCATACAGGTGATAAACAATTTCCCATTCCGAGACCGTAAGTTTGTGAATAAAATTCGTTATTAAAATTAAAATAATTACTGTTGATGCAAAAATTGAATAATTCTAGAAAAGAGTGCAATGTTAATTTTGTGTATGNGTCTCGTACGACAAAATAACTCTAATTTGATTTATATTTTAATACATGATCTTGATGTATGTGTACGCTATTCTATACCAATATCTATACTGTCCAAGATTGTTATATGACATACTATGTATAACGAGACTAGGAAAACACAGTGAAGCACTTAAATCTGTAATGTGAGTAACATATAAACAATATACGTAGATTTAATTTTAATTTAAATTTTTCTTTTTCGCATGTTATGTACAGGTTGTTGTTTGTTGCGTTTCTTGTTCATTCACCATATTTTGTTATTTTATTATTTATTATATAAAAACATTTTGTTTATGTAATTTTAATACTTTTGTTTTTAAATTTGTGACATATAAAAATTATTAGTGTGTCTGTATTTGTAATTTTTTTTCATGTTTATATAGATATTGCTGTATTCATTTTATTGTAATGTTTTAAACACACTTTTTTAATATTTTAATGTTGTTTGTTATTTATAAATTGTGATGTAGTTTTGAAATGATTAAATTTTATAGTGTCCTGAGGATGTCACGGTAAGTTGCGAAATGTCGACAATTGAGACAAATTTGGTGTTTTTCTTTGAAATTTGGCCTCTAATTTCCCCCTATTAACAACAAACTGAATAAATATAATTATTTTCATAGCTTGCTATAATTCAGTTTTTATTTGTACGCTTGATATTTAATAAATATTATTTATTTCACACAGGTAGGATAGAAATAACTATTATCTGACTTATTATTCGCAGATTTTTGACGTGCATTTCATAATTGAATAATGTAAGGACACTAGTGTAACTTACACTAGTGTCCTATGCGATATAACATAAGTTACGCCATCTATTTTAACATCTTCAAAATTAATTCACAGTCCTAGTATCATTTTGGAACAATACTTTTTGGAAACAAATAATACAACTATCAATTTTTTATTATTTATTTATTTTTTAAAAATGATGGCAGCACCATACACTTGAAGCTTTTTTATAATTTCGAGTCAGAAAATAAATAAGGACATGGAACAATATTAAAAATATCAGTATTTTAATTAATGTAAAAGTTGAGCAAGTGTATACATTATTGCTAATTAAAGATACTGTAATCTTACTTCTGGTATACAAATAATATTTATGTACATACAGGGATGGCTGAGGCCCTGACATCATGGCCATGGAATGAGAGCATTTAAATTGAAATTCAAGTTTTGGCCATAATGTCGGTTCCTCCCTAAATTTAACATATTGCAATGATGGCACCCTGAGTATAACAAAATGATTTCTAATCTACTCTAGCACTGGAATGTAGTCTTTGAGGCCCGCATTCATGAATGTGATTGCATAGTCTTATGTTTAATTCCTGGATCAGTTAAAACGTAATTATTAGGAGTCGCCCTCGGAATTTCAGGTAATTTATCACCAGGATGTCGATGGCTGATGGAAGGTATTTTTCTCGTTGGTTTATTAATTCTGGTACTACTCAACCCTGATACTGGATATTTTGCACGCGTAGTACTTAACGATTGTCGGGGCATCACTTCCCCGGGATGCTTAGGCATAACAAAAGCTTTTGTCTGCTTTATAAGCGATCTATCATTGCACAATGCGGATATTAATGGCAAGTCCATTTTCTTGCTCTTCTCCCTAAGAGTACGGATGTCAAGAGCTGACACTCTCTCATTAGTCTCATTTAACAGTTTTTCACTACTAACACATTTCACTTTTGAGTCCACTAGTAATGCACTAGTATTGGGATTTTCCAAAATTGTTGGATATTTTTCCGGAATCGGCGGTGGAGGTGGTGGAGGCAATCGCCTAAATTTAGGAGGCTGTGGTGCTTCTAAGGAATTTAAAATATTATCGTCAGACCTAGTACGCATAACCCTCGTCGGGCGGCTAGGTGGCAAAGGAGGAGGAGGTGGATCCAAACTCCCTGAAGATGCTATACTAGGTGCTCCATATACAGGCAGCTGGACGTAGGTATCGGAAAGATTTTGGCTAGAAGCATACCGTCCCAAATACGGAGTGCTACGATAAAATACAGGCTGATGTGCCAGTGCTGCCAATAAGGAACCTTGTTTAGCCTCCAGATACTCCTGTTTACTAATTGCTGGTTCCTTCAAAGGGAACACCACAAAATCTACATCACTGTACATTTGCTGTTGGTACTGCTCAATTTGCGACCTGGACAGTTGACTGGTGTAAACAGTTGCAAGAGCTGGTGGTGGCGGAGGTGGAGGTTGCCTTGGTGCAGGTGGTGGAGGAGGCAGGAATGTACAAGGAACTAAAACACTTGCTTTACTGGCTGCAACATCCAAATAATTGTTAGGAGAAATAACTGTGTTAGTAACAGGTGGCGGTGGTCGTGGTATTTTTGGAGGAATAGGAGGCACTGAGCTTGGTATTGAATAACTCGGTGAGGAACTAACACTAACAGCACTAGCATGAGCTGTTAATACACTTGGTGATCTTGTTGTAATAAATCTAGCTGCTGCTTCCTCAAATGGATAAACAGGTGGAGGTACAGGTGTTGGATTTTCTGGATAAGGAGGTGGGTGCCTCGCTGATGTATCAGATACACAACTTGTGTCATCATAGTCTGGACAAACTGTTTCTGTTATAATAGTTTTATTCAGTTGTGCGCCATAAGGTGGTGGAGGCGGCCTAAACCTTTGTTCCACACTGTCTATTCTTTTGGGAGGAACTGGAATGTATCCTTGATAAGATGATGGTAAAGTAACATAATCCGAATCCGAATCTAATGTGTGACTAACACTCTTACAAGATGGGTAACGGCCAACAATTAAATCAGATAATTCTTCTGCCGTTAATAAAGCCTGTTTATTATCTGTTGGATCACTTCCATCTCCATGAAATGACCCAGAATTGCTTACGTTTGAGTTTGCTCGATCCCTGAAGAGTCCATCCACATGATCTCCTGGTGTAGAGTACTGTTCACTAGGTGTGCTATATTGTTCACTTGGAACAGTATAATTGTCGCTAGAACTTAGTGTATACTGTTCACTGGAAGTTAGAGTATACACTCCACTGGTATGGCTGCTTGGCGCTGGACCAGATGTATAAACTGGTTCTCTTGTATCTAACTCTATACAGGTAGCGTCACTAACTGATGAATTTTGAGCTGTATGTGAGTATCCCAGTTCCAAACTACTGGTAGTAGAAGACCGACGCCCTTTTGGTTCTGAAAAAAAAAAAAAGTATATTTTATTTTTCTTAATACATATGATTCTAAAAATTATGTAAAGAAAACTTACTGGTTTGTACTGGTGTAACTACTACAGTGCTGCACGAAGAGCTACACTGTGATCCAGCACATTTGCCACTCGCCGTTTTCGTCGAGCTCTCACTCAAAGTAGGTTTATTTATTTCTTCCTCTTCTTCCTTGAGTGTGAGAGATGCTAAAGCGGCAGTAGCTGATGCAGCAGAAGTTCGACTACTAGCAGGCGCACTGTCCAGCAGGTGTGCTAGAGCCAAACTTTCTGTAGACGGTGCCGGTGGACTGGTAATCATAATTTCAAGTTCATCTTCGGAATGGACTCGATCACTGACGATCCCAGATGTGGTGTTTGATGATGTTGAACTGATAACAGATACACGCTGATCGCAATCCCATCGTTGCCTTTCTTCTTCTTCACGCCTCACTTCGCTGAGTCGTGGAGCCACAGCCATACTAAACTGATGTGCAGCTTTGCACAGTGCTAGAAGCAATCTACTCTTTTCGTCGCTACTAGTATACAAAGTAAGTTTCTCATGACCAGTTCGTATCTCGAACTTTTTTCGTTCGAAGCTTAATTTTCCTATACTGCTCCATAGAAATATCGATGGCGGGTTATTTTCCGGACATACCTTCAATCCTCTGGGGCATACTGCCAGTAGTAGTGAACCAGGCGCTGGTTCTGACTTTGAGGCCTTTAATCTGTAAATACAAAATAAAAAATTGTGTAGAAAACAACACAAAATTTAAATCTGCAATAAGATCTTTTTGTTAAATTAGAATCAGAACAATTAGATGTGAAAATAGTTTAGTTTTCTGTATCATGCATACCTAAAAATATGGGCATTGACAGGTTCTTGCAGCTGACAAGCCTCTGCTATGAAGCGCGCTCGAGCTTCATTCTTCGATAGTCCTCTGTGTGTCCTGTGTGCAGCTTCCATAATTCGTAACGCTGCTGGTCCTCGCATGTTTGGTGGCAAATAGTCTTCTGGTCTAAAAGTCGTGTTCTCATTGTGATCTCCCAAATCGGCCTGCAAAGAGAGGCCCGCCAAATGTGTGGCATGTTCCCCGGCTGCTCCAGAGGCCGCGTTGAGGCGCAATTGGAGGTAGTAATGATGTCTCGTGGTCTCGTCTCGCAAGAGCAAAGGGCTGTCCACGTAGAATTGGACTCGAAAGTAGAAGGCGAGGGCCGGACGTCCGTTAGCGTCGAGCCCATGACTGTGGGAGGAACGCCAACTCTTTGGAGCATACTTGGAAAGCTTGTTGTCTGGCTCAGCAAAGAGGTATTCACCATCTGTAACAAAAGAAAGTGTAACGTAAACGTCTAGAACCCTATAAACGCTTCGAAACACATTTGTGTAATCACAATTTGTCGGAATAAATTGCAACTTGTTCGCGACATTTTTCTGATAATGCTAAGAGTAATCCTCTATAATATCATCAGAAAAATGGGATAAAAAGATGTATTCGCGCTAGGTGAATTGAAGATCGCTCGAAACAAAACAATACAATAATGTATTTTAATGGCAGGGTGATTCACAAATAGTGACCAAAAATGAAACTTATTCTTTAGTAAATTTTAAGGGGATTCATTACTATAAAGTTTTTATTTATGACGATTCGTTAAAAAGATACAGGGTGTTAATCTTCAAAAAATATTTTTAATTTCTTTAAATAATTTAAAAACTAGTAAATGAAATAATTTGAAATTGTGTACACGTATTTATGTAAACATTGTCCAAAATCGCCTAGATAAGAACTTTATAGGAAAGACTCCCTTTAAAATTCACCAAAGAATACGAGGTTTCATTTTTGGCCACCATTTGTGAATTACCCTGTATAGAAGCGTTAGTTACTTTGTCCGCGGAGCACCAGCGTTCGAAATAATAGGGATTTTTCAACTTCCAATGATAACACAGATTCTAGTTTCCGAATTTTCGATTCACAAACTGCAAATAAATTTTGCATTTTGAAATACTAGTCTATCTAGTTATAATTTATCTGTAATGCTATGTTTGCAGCTGCAGTAGTATATAATAAGCCTTCTTTCATTCTCCAAAAAGGAAACAAAATACGAAAAAAGTTGTAGTTGTTTAATGAGGAAAATATTATTAAAAGTTTTAATATTGGTTGAGGTTGAGCCCCTTGGTAGGTACCATAAATAACTGCCTCTGCCAAATTTCAACAAAATCGGCTGAGGGATTAAGATTTTTATGAAAAAAAAATTTTTTTTTAAAGTTTGGCACCCTGTATCTTCAAAACGAAGCATTACCGAACCTATGTTTATATAAACTTTTCGTCTCAGACTCACTCAAAGAATCGCCCCTTGAAGTTTTGCCACGCATTTAAATAACACCCTGTATATGGTATCCAAACTATATTTTAAGATGTTACTTTAGCAGTGAACACCTTTGTAATTGAAAAATATGTATGTCTATGTTTTATAAATAATTGTTTCTATATATTACCTATGTTTTTTTGGTTTAAAATATATTTAAAAAATGTGTTTGTAATGTTTTTTGTATTTTTTTCACAAAAAATTATTTTTAAATTTCAATTTAAAATCAAATAAAAAGCAATTTAAAAACAAGTATTTTTATACACACTTGGATTTAGATACAACGCTGATTCAGGAGTGTTTTGCGATAATCAACATCCTTAAAACAAGCTACAATAAACTGTTAATGTGTTGATGAATAGTGTGTATGTATAATAAATAATTACGTTGTATGCTTATAATAATAAAGTTAATTTTTTCATTGAATTGATATTAATTATTTATACTTATTGTTAGATGGGTTACTTTCACTGATTTTTACATAAATATTACTTCAATGTATAAGTCATATTGACAATACAACAAAACAATGGTCTGTGTAATATTAATGAAAAGTTTTTGTTTTATTAAAATAACAATAGAAAATGGAAGACAGATTTGTAGGGTGGTCATAATTTTGTTACATAGGTAGGTACTATTAAATAGAATGTAAATTATGTCATATTAACGTTAGAGTTGTTTCAAAATCTTATGAGCTTTGACCTTCATATGCGCAGAAACATAATTCCGACCGTCGCGCGTCGCCTAAATTATTCTACATCCTAAAAACATTATATCTATTATTCACAGTCTATCTCGAGCTCTCGTAGCGTAAACAAGCCTTTGATTCGATTACAAATATCGTAATAAAATGCCCTATTCTTTATTATTTTAATTTAAGCAATAGAAATATATGTAACGAACGTTCGCCAGTTGACTTTATTGATGCCCGAGCGCCTTTAGTTCATTTCTGGTTGTAATGAGGCACGTGGTCTAATTCAATGTTTTCACAATGCCTATATTAGAAGAATTATGCGGTTACGCCACGCCTTTCGCGCATTTCGCGGCTCATGAAATTTTGAAACTACTCTACATCATTTTTTTAAATAAAAAAAATTTAAATAATTTCTGATTGTTCATAAATGTAGGATAATATTTTTTTCCATATAAAGGGGCGTACTTCTAGAAATAATGTTCGTTCTCAATTTATTTTTCTTCCAAGATATCTCAAATTTAACTCACCATTGTACTAATGTACTAAAGGTCTTACAAAAATGTATATTATTTCATATTACTAGAATAAATGTTAAAATACTGCTAAAAATTAGAACGCCAAATTATATTGAAATAAAAATAATTATTACTAATCACAAGTGACACCTAATAATTATAGAATAGAATAGAATAGAAACTTTATTGACTGTCATATACAAAAACTGTACATTTTTTGTCACAACGATTACACTAAAAGGAGACATTAATACTAAACAGTAACAAAAGAAATAAAATCATCAAGACTATAAAAACTATAAAAACATTGCTCTAATAAAAAATTTTTAATGAACTTGTGGAAACTTCTCTGAGACATCGTCCTAAATTTAAAATTTTTAAAATGATTACTTAATCTATTATAAAGCTCAATCTGGACCTTGTTTCTCTTAGTAGTATTAATTCTAGAAAAGGGTTCCACAAGATTTAGTGCCTGTCTAGTATTGTGTTCGTGAATGGATNCCGCCGACGTCCGTCTAGATACAAATTAAAGTTCGATAAAAACAGTAAACACAGCAATGTCACAAAAAGGCACCCACTGCAATTTCATCCATTACATACATTTGCGTTTAACAAACAGGTGCATAGACACAACTGACAGTAGAGAACACACTTCACTAACTTGAACCAATTTAAATAACTTTAAATTAGCGTTTCACAGTCAATGATTTAAGAGCAATTTAAGTAAGGTGTAAGTCAATTGCCCCCACACTAATCACTATAATTATAATATGCGAGTACAATTAAGAAAAAAAATGTTCATCTAAACGGAATAGTCGGTCTGTAAACATAGAATATTTGAAGAGAAAATATAACGAATAAATTGCCAGTATTTATATAGGTACGTACATTGAAGGAAGATTTATTATATTTATTGTTAATTTGTCCCATCAAAGTTTGCCGAATAGTGTTAATCACACTCTGATAGCAAATATCTAGCCACAACCGAAGCTATAACATCACTTTGGACAGAGACCGACAGGAAATTTTTCCACGGTGAATTAATTAAATCATTTCTGCATTTTAAAAATTGCCAGTTTCAATCAGTAATAAAGTGGTGCGCAGTTTGGATATATTTTTTTAATTAAAAACAAGGGGATACGGATAAAATGATGAACACAGACTATCATAGAAAATGTATATATTAAAAAATAAATAAATGGGAGCAAAACGATGAACATTAAACACTCAAGAATTATATAAAGCAATTGCATCATCTATCTTTTTACCTACTCTTATTCCTACGTGGGGCAGCAGAGCACCCTGTAGGTCAGTGGTATCACTTTATGCAACTCGTGGTTTTTATTTTTTGTTTTTAGAATTTTTGTCGAGAGACTGTATGGTCGCGGCGTGGCCCGCGCATTTTGCAAGCTCTCGGACTCCTATGACGACTTGATTCTCGGACTGTACTGTCAGAGGCAAAGGAGGCTGGTACAGTAAAGGAATGCAGCAGCGCCGGACCGCATTCCAAGCAGCCGCCACGTCAGTGCGCGCCTCAGGCTCTACACCCGGCATTATCCAAGTCGGGGCAGTGCCGTACAAACGGGGGGCCTGCGGGCTGCACACACGCGCTGTATAAAAATTCCTGGAAATGTAATTTTAGGGTCCTATAGCATGCTGTTTGTTAGAATCTGGAATATTGTCCGATATTCTATTAGACATTTAAACAAACTTAGTTAGATTTTTTATAATAATAATAATTGCAGCTGAAGTGGTAACTAACAAAAAGATGTGGGTACAAAAAATAAAATGTGAAGAGAATAAGTTCTACAAACTATTTTAAATTTTTGCTATGCACATTGCAATGCCATTTTCAGAAAAAGGCGTACTTGTGTCCTTTTGTTTGTACTGCTTAGAAGAAATTCTACATATTAAACAATTTGAATTTTTCTACCCAAATCCCTAAGTAATTAACTCAGTTTTGGAAAAAAAGGCCCATACATTGTTTTGCTTCTTACCCTTTCAATTATTTTTTAAATACCTACATAACAAAATTAAGTAGACTGAGTCACTGAGTGACTTCCTTTTCTTGTTAATTTCATTTACCTTCTTTTATTTTAAAACATATTTTTATTATTTGTATATTGTTTGATAATTGTTGCAATACCTAGTGTTATGGTTATAGTATTACAAAATTTCCTTTTCAAAATTGAAATTTATATGAATCCGTTAAGTATTACGAATATATTTGAAAAAATTGTTTATGAAGTTTTGGTAGCACATATATTAGCAGGAAACAAACAAGTGAGGACGATTATATAGTTTTTTAGTTTATAACGTCGCATACCATCCAGATGAAATTCAGCGTTTTATTGCCCCATGTTTACAAATTTCTAAATTAATTTTAATTAAACGTCCGGCAAAAACTGGACAAAATTATTTATCGTGCGCCGTACAGTATTTTATGCTAGAATTATATCGTACACCTTTAACATGGGACACTATTTGCATATATCGAAGGTAAAAATAACTACAAACAGGTTTCAGTCGGATACTCTATAATTATATAAAAACATGCCTTTTAAATTTCGCGAAATAGAAATAACGTGTCATTCATAAAATGTGTCCAGGATTTAACCATGATACGAGTCGAAGGCATATTATATGCGAATATATAAATGGACTTAATGGCGTAGCTTATAATATCAATGGTACCTAGTTTGTTTTTCGCAAAATCATGTGGACGTTATTATATTTCGTTTCATGAT